CAACTTAGTGATGCCATGAGTAACTCATTAATTAAACAGCAACGATGTTATGGTGTTATTTGTTCTTTTGTACGACAAACGTACAATGTCTGAAGACTAGATTTATATTTTGACGGTGGACCTCTCGTATCCCCCTTGCGGGCGGGACGCCAAATAAGGTAATAATGAACAAGCCCCCTGTGGATTCATACATTTGTCATCACCAGGTTGCCCCTATAATAATACCATCTGACTTCTAAAACACGCTGTTGATAGAGAATTTGAACCGAAACTTTAATTTTCTTTCCAGTACACAAAAAAAAGTCTTTGGGCCATACTAAAAATATGCTTTTTTCTTCTTGTTAATTAAACATAAAAACAATCCTCAGAACACGGGAAATCGCTTCTGAGACGTTCTAGAAAACACATTTTTTTGGGGGGAGATCCCCCAAACCCCCCTTACGGGGAGGGGGTCTGTACCCTCCCCCTCCTCGCGCTACGCGCTCGGGCTGCTGCCTTTCGCAACACACCGTTGACTATTGAGAAAAATTTCTCGCCCCCCCTTTTAGGAAATCCTGGATCCGCCCCTGCCCTGTAACCTTATTTCATGTTACTAACACAGCCACTAAGATGGACACCTTATATACATTGTACATGTTATTGTACATAAGTTCAAGGTCGATCACGTGGTGAGTTATCATCATTCCTGAATAGACACGTTAATACGTGTGTGGTATAAAAATGTACATGAAATAACGTAAACGCTAACATCAGGCAAAGTGTAAGTTGCACAAAACAAGTGAAAACATATTTGTTTTTGCAAAATAACAGGTATACGACATCGTACGACTGTATTTTTCCAGGCTAGTAAACCCGAAAGTTGATATTCTTCAAGTCTAGAAACAGAGGGAATCGTCATCTTTGTAGGTTGTCAAATCCTTGTATTAACCTCATATAAGTCAATATAAGTTCAGATCTTCACGTTTCTCGCTGTCTTTACTGCCATGTTTTGCATATTCATGAGGTTAACGTCAGCCTTGCGCGATGACATTCAGTCTCGTTGCCAGGTTATTTCTCGAACCAAAGGGGAAATTCCCGAAACAGTACGAAAACCCTGTACAGTTTGTATTCAGTACAAGGAGCATGAGGTTTGACGTCATCCACATGAATACGCTAAATATGGCAGCATGAAATAACTCTCAGGTCCCTGTGGACGAGGTCTCAGCCAATCAAAGACAAGCAAAACTGACAAATAAAGTTGTGACAGATATGCTGACTTCCGGTCAAGGTCACAACATGTAGGCAATTGTGAGATCAAACAGATGTTTTTGTCTTAATCGTTACTGCATTAATCAGTTATTTTACTGTTTCTAACTAAGCTCAAGATTTAATAAGTTTTTTTGTCTTTACAGGTCGGTGGAAAAGGTGTGTTCTGGGCGCGGCAGATGTGTTGGCGGTGTCTGTCAGTGTGCTCGACGACGGTCGGTAAGTAAAGCATGCGCAGTTGTTCATCCACCTACAAATGTACCATCCCCACCCCATATTGTTTACACGTAAAGAGATGCTCAAAGTTATTCGATTCACTAAATAAATCACTGCACCAATCTGGTACTGACAGTGGTTTAGATATTCCAACATCGAACTCCCAAAAACGAATCCGCTGTTAAATTCAGTCTGATATGAGTCAAGTACATGTATGTGATCAAACAATTTTTCCTAAAACTGTAGAGTTTCAGGATGGATATAAAAAATAACCAATTAATCAAATACTGTTTGAGGAAATGCCAGAATACCTATTTTCTCGCAATTAAGATGGAATTAATTGTTGCACAATCTGTCAACAAATTAACATGAATTAAAATTGGTTATGATGGTCTATAACTGATCTGTCATTTTGCCAAAATACGTTTCGTTTCCGCTTGCCGCAATATCCGGTTTTCCCATCCTACAGAAGAAAAAAACATCTAGAATTGTTGCTGAAGTAAATATGAAAATATTACAAATGGCATTTGTAATTTCAGTTATTTTTTCAACATTCTAAAGTTCTGTTGAGCGAATCTATACCGGAATACTAAAGTACATTATAGAGGTTACACAACGAGTGGTTGTTGAATATGGTATTTATTTCACTCGAGTTAGCTAATTTTCAAAAGTTACAGAAAGACACGAGCTTTAGGGAGTGTCTTTCTGTAACTTTTGAAAATTAACTAACGAGAGTGAAATAAATACCATACTCAACAACCACGAGTCGTATGATCTGTTTCTACCACAATCTCATGATCAGTTTGTTGACAAGGCTGGCGAAGTGATATGACCCATATGTAAAAAGTCACTCATTATTATTCAAAAGTGACATTTTTTTTACAAATTTAATTATTGTCAAAATTAATGTTTCGGACACAACTTCGTGAAAAAATAAAATAGATGAACGACTTTGAATATTGAGAGTAGCAGTATTGCATTAACTTATATAAATTAACCACGGACTATATGCGCGTAAGCATATCGTACGAAGTCTGCCTCCCGCCAAGTGATGAACCGTTGTAGACGAACTTATCGCTGTCAATATTCAAAACCATAGGCCTACGTTTCTAGGCCTACGTTTCTTCGTGACGGTTCTATGGTTGACGTTTATAGTGAAAGTTCAGCCATAGTCAGACCGTCTAAATAGCGATAACGGGACGTTGGGAGAACGAAATATTTCCCGACGCTGTGACGTATCTTGTTTTGGTTTCACAACCTGGACACGCGACGGTGTGACGTCGAAACGATATCGAGCGCCTGTAGCAATTTTGCCTGAAACTAGCGATCAAATCTTTAAGTATCATCTTTTAATATTGCCTTAATAACCCCCCTTTCCGCATAACCCCACAAAGTCACCAACATTTGTCGGATGTTGACAGCCGACGACGTAAACAAAACAGCAGGTGGCAAAAAGCACGTGGAAAAAGTCTTCCCGGTCAAAGTTCATCTTCCCGACCAATCAAAACTCTTGAAGGTCATATACCACGTGTGGTATATAACTCATACAATGATCTGAGAGTGGAATAACACACCGTATTGTGGTAGAAAAAATGTTCCTAACAAATATTCCGGTTTTCATCGAAGAAGGAATACCTCATTTGACTTGTATGAAATTTAAAGCAACGCAGCAGTAGTTAATTCCAAATTATGTTAGTGAACCCCCTGTTTCTGTATGTACAGTACCTACAACGTTAGGGTATATACAGCACGGAATCTGAGAACGGCTTTACGAATTAGTGCCCTACTTTACATGTATGCATGTAGTTTAGTGAATTATAAAACTGTTATTCTATTTTATTCTAACTTGTATACTTGGTAATGGCCTGTGTGAGACGAGCTACCATCATATAATGTAAAGTGACTCTTGAAGGGGCAAGCTTCTGGTGTTACTCATCAACTTATATCGTCCCGGATGAACTAATTGCTGATGAACATTTACACCGACGATCTGAAACATTTATACGGTGAATTATTTTCATTTGCTACTACGTAAGTCAGTTGTGTTAAATCAATGATAAATATATTACAGGATTTTCGTTGGACAACTTCCTGTTTTAACCTTACTTTGTGCTTCATAAAAGTAATGTTACTTTGAAAAATATCAAACATACGAGCTTGCAGCTTTCAACAGATACTTGAATGCAGGTTTTTTTCATTAGCAACGGAAGTAAGTTTTGTACTTATGTTTTTGCTGCTTTACCATGCAATACAATCCCATTCCCGTCAAAAATACACAAAACACAATTTACTGATGTTAGCACATCAGTTTGTTTAAGTTCTCCGGAAAGCTGAAACACGACCACCTCCAAATATACTGGTAAAATATAAGTAACCAGAGGGCACTGATGCGAGTCTGTCTAGTAATGGCTGTCTGTCACGTGACATCAAAGACTCGGAATGTCGGCAGCTGCTCCCTCGTATGATCGGCACATTTCCTGTTTTATCCTTCTGAATTTACTGACTTCGGAATGGAGCGGTCATGGTTCCTGGCTATGTGTGCTATGTCAGAGTGGAATATAATGCTTAAGTTACGGCTTTCACAATTTCAAATCAGGATTCCAAACCTCTAGGCGACACATTACAATTAAAAGGTAATAGAAATTAACAACACTTCTATACTGCCTTTTTTTATGAGCAGAATCGTTAAGTAAGAGTAATCACCGCCATACAACTAATACTGAAGGTAAAATGACACGTGAGGCAATCATAAAAAACTGTTTGTATCTAATGTAAACAGCTGATTGGATTTCCTAATAATTTAGTTATCATTGCTTTGGACACATAGATGTTATTGTTTATATTAATGTAAGTATAAATTGTGTAGGCAGTCCGGGAGACTATAACATTACTCCAGTCAATATACATGACACAATTCCACCACGATCTCACAAATACAGAAACATGCACATCAAATAGACCAATTCCATCTATCACCGCTGATAATGACTGTATTATTAATACTAATGGGTGTTTTCGGAACCCTTTCTTCCCCGCAGTGCTACATTTTATGACCTTTATGCTATGCCATTGGAGCTTGCTCTATTGCAATACGTGTCTGATTGTCTGCTGGGCCGCGAGACACAATTTACCGGATTGCAACATCGCTGACGGCTGTAACTTACCCAGACTGCTAGATATTTCCGGCACCACGTTGTGTCCTGTGGTCCCCTTATGTCAGGACAACATACCCCAGATGTCTTTATACAGACATAATCCCTTGGGCCATTGCCATTCTTATCCAGGTCGTGATTCCGTGAAATATCGTGTCGTTCCGTCACATTCCGTTACATTCCGTCACACCGAGAACCATGTCTGTGTTTGTTTTCGAGGTATTAAGATGTCATGTTGACATGTTTATTCAAAAGATGTATGTAGAATGTCAGGCAATGCGCTCTCTTGTTTTAAAATTATGATTTGTGTGAACTGATTTATTTAGAAAAAAAGGTCATCGTGTGTGCTTCTCCTGGTTATCCAATCACGGCTTTGACTAATTTAGTGAAAATACTGGCTCATGAGACATGTTTATTCGTAACATTTTTGTGAAATGTCAAGCATTGCGCTTTATTGTTTCAAAGTTATGATTTGTTTGCGCTTGTATATTTAGAAAAAGTACAATATTTAGTGTTTCGAGTAACTAAGAGTGAAGTATGGCTCACATGTGCAAGTCTCGTTCAACTCTCGTTATGATATAGTGTCAGACTCACGTGTCGCATATGGGAAGTACCAACATTTAACATGATTACGAACACTGACACACTTAAGTAAAAAATATTAATCAGATATTATCACCATGTGGAAATGTCATAAAACTACTTAATTTCTGTTACAATCAATCTGTTTTATTTCACATTTTAGATTTTGATAATTTCCGCAAATCAAATTCCGTTAATGGTTTTGACATTCCGGACTGATTTCCCCCAAAACCCACTATAGTTGTCGGTTTCTGATTTACCACTTTGTTTAACACAAACCAATACTGTTGTAGGGTTCTTCTATTCTATTCTATATTCTATTCTATTCTAATTACCAGAAAATTATGACATAATGCTGTTACTTATAGAATTTACTTGTAGAAGTCATGTAATTACAATCACGTATCATAAGCAAAACAAGGTCAAGCTAATATCATCATCAGAGCGTCACAAACCTGAGCGGGAAATATGAAAATAACCGCTCTTGTGCCCAATGGCTTGACCAGCACCTGACAGGTAAATAACCATTATATTATCAGACTGTTAACTGACCACACCTGTCTTATTTCAACAGAGAATACCGGACAAGTTTAGCGGCGAGTATTGTGAGTGTGACGACTACAGCTGTCCTTTCTACATGGGCAGGATGTGTGGAGGTAGGTAATACATGTACACGTGTTTTGGCGATTCAGGTGTTAAAATATAAAGATCCCAAATGTTGCAATGAGCGCAGCAGATTTATTTTGGTCGCTTTAGCGTCCCCAAAGGAGATGGCACAAAGGCAAATTCCCGATTCGGCATGGATTCCCAAATCAGATGCCTTTACAGCATGCATTGGGTTACAATGGAATAGAACGTCCGTCTAGAGTTCGAGGTCCCGGGTTCGAATCTGGACATGCATTTTTCTTTCCTGCTTCAGCTCAATCATTAATCATCAAGCTCCCAGGACAGAACCACACTATGCTTGTAACTAACTCTACCTCCAAGTCTGGATCATTGAGTGATGTGAAGATCTGTTGGATTATTCCTGAATAAACTGTGTATTTTTCCATTCCATCAATCATCATACACAAATTGTATTTTCAAATATAGATTGGATCAAGTTTTACAACAGTCTATTGGATTAATTTGTTCTCAAAAACCTTTTTTCTCGATCACATTCAACACTGATGGTCGGTTGGGTTATTATTGGGTTTTATTTCACTGTTAAATATATAAACATTGTGAATTTTCTTCTAAAATTTGCAGGTGTATGCAATTATACTTGTTCGCTGTAACTGCCCATTATTAAGGCAGTATTTGTCGGGTATCACACACAATAATGGACATCTAACTTCAATGGACATACTTCTATACACTGTACAATGGGAACAAGTTTCCACTATCATACTACTATACACTGTACAATGCGAACACGTTTCCACTATCATACTTCTATATACTGTATAATGGGAACAATTTTCCACTATCATACTTCTATATACTGTACAATGGAAGCACGTTTCCACTATCATACTTCTATATACTGTATAATGGGAACAATTTTCCACTATCATACTTCTATACACTGTACAATGGGAACAAGTTTCCCCTATCATACTTCTATACACTGTACAATGGGAACACGTTTCCACTATCATACTTCTATATACTGTACAATGGGAGCACGTTTCCACTATCATACTTCTATATACTGTACAATGGGAACAATTTTCCACTATCATACTTCTATATACTGTACAATGGGAACACGTTTAAACTATCATACTTCTATACACTGTACAATGGGAACTCGTTTCCACTATCATACTTCTATATACTGTATAATGGGAACAATTTTCCACTATCATACTTCTATATACTGTACACTGGGACCACGTTTCCACTATCATACTTCTATATACTGTATAATGGGAACAATTTTCCACTATCATACTTCTATACACTGTACAATGGCAACACGTTTCCACTATCAAATGGGAGCACGTTTCCACTATCATACTTCTATACACTGAACAATAGGAACACGTTTCCACTATCATACTTCTATATACCGTACAATGGGAACACGTTTCCACTATCATACTGCTATATACTGTACAATGGGAATAAGTTTCCACTATCATACTTCTATATCCTGTACACTGGGAACACGTTTCCACTATCATGCTTCTATATACTGTACAATGGGAACACGTTTACACTATCATACTTCTATACACTGTACAATGGGAACAAGTTTCCACTATCATAATTCTATATACTGTACAATGGGAACACGTTTCGACTATCATACTTCTATACACTGTACAATGGGAATAAGTTTCCACTATCATACTTCTATATCCTGTACACTGGGAACACGTTTCCACTATCATGCTTCTATATACTGTACAATGGGAACACGTTTTCACTATCATACTTCTATATACTGTACAATGGGAATAAGTTTCCACTATCATACTTCTATATCCTGTACAATGGGAACACGTTTCCACTCTCATACTTCTATATACTGTACAATGGGAACACGTTTCCCCTATCATACTTCTATACACTGTACAATGGCAACACGTTTCCACTATCAAATGGGAGCACGTTTCCACTATCATACTTCTATACACTGAACAATAGGAACACGTTTCCACTATCATACTTCTATATACCGTACAATGGGAACACGTTTCCACTATCATACTGCTATATACTGTACAATGGGAATAAGTTTCCACTATCATACTTCTATATCCTGTACAATGGGAACACGTTTCCACTCTCATACTTCTATATACTGTACAATGGGAACAATTTTCCACTATCATACTTCTATACACTGTACAATGGCTACACGTTTCCACTATCATACTTCTATATACTTTTCCACTATCATACTTCTATACACTGTACAATGGCTACACGTTTCCACTATCATACTTCTATATACTGCACAATGGGAACACGTTTCCACTATCATACTTCCATATACTGTACAATGGGAACACGTTTCCACTCTCATACTTCTATATACTGTACAATGGGAACACGGTTCCACTATCCTACTTCTATACACTGCACAATGGGAACACGTTTCCACTATCATACTTCTAAACACTGTACAATGGGAACACGTTTCCACTATCATACTGCTATATACTGTACAATGGGAATAAGTTTCCACTATCATACTTCTATATCCTGTACAATGGGAACACGTTTCCACTCTCATACTTCTATATACTGTACAATGGGAACACGTTTACACTATCATACTTCTATACACTGTACAATGGGAAGAAGTTTCCACTATCATACTTCTATATACTGTACACTGGGACCACGTTTCCACTATCATACTTCTATATACTGTACAATGGAAGCACGTTTCCACTATCATACTTCTATATACTGCACAATGGGAACACGTTTCCACTATCATACTTATATACACTGTACAATGGGAACACGTTTCCACTATCATACTGCTATATACTGTACAATGGGAATAAGTTTCCACTATCATACTTCTATATCCTGTACAATGGGAACACGTTTCCACTCTCATACTTCTATATACTGTACAATGGGAACACGTGTCCACTATCATACTTCTATACACTGTACAATGGGAAGAAGTTTCCACTATCATACTTCTATATACTGTCCAATGGGAACACGTTTCCACTATCATACTTCCATATACTGTACAATGGGAACACGTTTCCACTATGATCCTTCTATACACTGTACAATGGGAACAAGTTTCCACTATCATAATTCTATATACTGTACAATGGGAACACGTTTCGACTATCATACTTCTATACACTGTACAATGGGAATAAGTTTCCACTATCATACTTCTATATACTGTACAAAGGGAACACGTTTCCACTATCATACTTCTATATCCTGTACACTGGGAACACGTTTCCACTATCATGCTTCTATATACTGTACAATGGGAACACGTTTTCACTATCATACTTCTATATACTGTACAATGGAAGCACGTTTCCACTATCATACTTCTATATACTGCACAATGGGAACACGTTTCCACTATCATACTTGTATATACTGTACAATGGGAACACGTTTCCACTATCATTCTTCTATATACTGTACAATGGGAACACGTTTCGACTATCATACTTCTATACACTGTACAATGGGAACAAGTTTCCACTATCATTGGTTTTCTGTTTTTATACTCATAATGATATCGCTCTCTTATGTATCTAATGAAGCGTATCTTTTTATATAATGCTATGCAACACAGTTCCGTTCAAATAAATAACATGAGCGATTACGCAACTTAGTCCCATAGTCTTCATTGTCACTGAATTCACCTGGTAGGAATTCACAACTGCAGACGACTTTGTTATATTTAGATAAACAAAAGTCACTTGACCCCCACCCCACCCCACCCCCCTTTGGCGACCAGGCGACCAGGCGACCAGCTGTGTCCTACGCTGAAATTTATGTACAACACTAACGTTCAATACAACAAACGAAATGTTATTCAATCTTTCAAAGTGGTTTCTTTTGCCTCGTGCTACATTTTAAACGAACAATTTAACAAGATGCTGGATGAAACGTTTTAGTGGGATCAATATCATGTTGTCAATGGTTACCATTTCCTTCAGACGACAAACGCCAATCATAAACCATTCGTGAACTTCTTAGCATGATTGTTCACCGACTGCTCTCGATGAGTGGCAAAACGACCCGAACAGTTTCTGATCAGAAAACATGTACTGTAAATCCATGTGAAATGCTTTCATAATAGCATTTTGAATTGGTAGGTGTGATATTGTTTATTGTTGTCATGGTTACACAGGAGCTTGTTTGGTTGTAGGAGATGCCCGGGGGAGGTGTAACTGTGGGGTGTGTCAGTGTGGCCCTGGCTACACGGGCGAGGCCTGTGGCTGTAGTCTAATGACGGACGGGTGTGTGGCCTCCGATGGGGTAAGTCACTTTACATCAAACGCTGGAGTTGATGATGTCAGAACAAAGATGAGATGGGCGTGGTCTTACGTAATTGTCTTCCCACCATCAGGATAACCTTGTTACATGTAGAGGTTTTTTGTTATCTAAATTACACATTCCGAGAACATACTGATCTCTTTGTATTCTAACCAATTACACGTGTTGATGAGTGTGACGTCATAATACAGGTAGAACATCACTGATTGAATCACGCAGCATATTTGTGCGCATGCGCAGCAGACCTTTGTTGTGTGTGATTGATGTAGCTGCTGATAGCCTTTCTATAAAACATGTGTTAAGTAATTAGAAATCATGTGCGTGCACGTGCTCCCTTTGCTCGTATATTGCTCTTTTTATGTTATTTTTTCTGCGCACATAAACAAAACCAAGAAGTACACGTACCGGGGTTAATATCGTATTTTATGGCTTACGACGTAAAAGAAAAAATGGGGAAAATGTTGAAAAAAGATGTTTGAAAGCAATATTTATTTATGTAAGGAATTGTACGTATGCATAGACACATGTAAAGAGGTGTTTGAAATCGTGTTTGTATTACATTTATACCGTAAAACAAATAGCATATATAATTTTTATATTTTGCAATACATATATAGTATTATTTATAGCAATGTATTTATAGCATTTTATGTATAGTAATTTGAATGGTACAAGCGTTATTAACGACTTAGTTATATTTACAGAGTATACGTATATATATACTAGATAATTACACGTTTTGTTGTATGTTACACGTTAAATGTTATCTTGCTGATTTTCGTCCGATTTTGTAGTCTGTTAGACGTGTTTCTATTTGCTGATTTTCGTCCCACAGAGCCTGTGTAACAACCAGGGGTCGTGTGTCTGTGGTTACTGCCAGTGTGACCAGGACAGTATCTACAGGGGGCCGACATGTGAAGAAAACCCAGCGGTAAGTATTGTATACAGGTTTACAACCAGTGAAATGTTTATAGGTGACGTTTCAATTCAATAGCAAGTACGATATGTACTTTGTCAACATCAGCAGACAAATGACGGTGAAGCGTGTGTACACTAGTAGTAAATATGTACAAGACGGCAATAAAATCGACATATCGATTAGACAACACTTTGTTGTTATGCATATAGGGAATAACGATCAAATCGACAAACCAATTCTACGCTCCTGTTCATAGGTGTGCATGAGTCTGTGAGCCCCCTCATCTCACTTCAGATCTGATGCGTAGTATCAAGATTGCTTCTTTCATCTTCCGCTTGAATACGTTACTCTGTGTTTCCAACGATTTATAATTGCCCCAGTCAGTTACACAATTTAACTGTGTGGCATGATCTGTGATTGCCGATTTTATGATCTGCGACTTTGGCTGTTTCTTTCTGATCGGGTATACGTCTTTCCCTCTTGGGTTCACCAAGTGAAACACAATCCCGCTTCCGGTTTTTCTGATATACGATTCGTCGCATTTTTTAAATCCGATAGTGTACACACATTCGGTGACGTTTTCTTTTCGTGATTTATCTATTTGTTTTTGTTTCATGAAAATTATATCTCGAAAGCTGAAATAGGTTTTTGTCAACACGAACACAAAATCCTTAATCTGGATATATGTGTTCTTACACCAGGACCTGTATATAATTCTATGTGCCATGTCTAAGAATATGTTATACAAACTGTGTGTAGACTTATCTGACGAAGGTACAATGTCTAAGGATATGTTATACAAACTGTGTGTAGACTTATCTGACGAAGGTACCATGTCTGAGAATATGTAATACAAACTGTGTGTAGACTTATCTGACGAAGGTACCATGTCGAAAAATATGTTATACAAACTGTGTGTAGTTTTATCTGACGAAGGTACCATGTCTGAGAATATGTTATACAAACTATGTGTAGACTTATCTGACGAAGGTACCATGTCTGAGAATATGTAATACAAACTGTGTGTAGACTTATCTGACGAATGTACCATGTCGAAAAATATGTTATACAAACTGTGTGTAGTGTTATCTGACGAAGGTACCATGTCTGAGAATATGTAATACAAACTGTGTGTAGACTTATCTGACGAAGGTACAATGTCTAAGGATATGTTATACAAACTGTGTGTAGACTTATCTGCAGAAGGTACCATGTCTGAGAATATGTTATACAAACTGTTTGTAGACTAATCTGACGAAGGTACCATGTCTGAGAATATGTTATACAAACTGTGTGTAGATTTATCTGACGAAGGTACCATGTCTGAGAATATGTTATACAAACTGTTTGTAGATTTATCTGACGAAGGTACCATGTCTGAGAATATAATATACAAACTGTTTGTAGATTTATCTGACTTTCTTCTTCTTTCATTACGCTATCTGACGAAGGTACCACGTCTGAGAACACCTCAAACTAACTGACGAAAGTTTCAGTTCTTAGAACTCGTCCTAGACAGATTTTTTCTCAAACTGCCTGACAAAGGTTTCAGACTTAAGAAATGTTACAGGTAGACCTTCTTCTTATATTACACTACGGCGGAGTAATCTGATATTTAAAAACATGTTACATTTCTACTTAATAAATAATGGGTGCCAGGTTTGAGATTTGAGAACAAGTTACATTTCTATTTTAAGATGAATGGATGTCGGGACCTGAAGCAGTGTGTCCAATGCCGCGTGTTCCAGACCGGCCCCCTGTCCCCTTCCGAATGTGCTAACGATCATGTCTGCTCTAACCTTCGGATACACTCCGTGGATACTTTAAATAGTCAGTAGAGAATTAATTCAGCGGTTTTGTTTTCATTCTTTGCTGTTGTGTTATGTAGTGATTGTTATCTGTCAACTATTAGTATTATCACGGACTTATATAACAAATCTAATTCTGTGGTATTATAATGGGTTAATGGAAGTATTCAACCTAACTTCGACAAAGATGAACATTTTCGCTACTTAACATTTCACTGTTTTTTCAGTTCAATATATTTTGTAGATCAGCATGCAATTCAGCTAAATTGCTGACATCAGTTCTCGGTCATAGAATAAGGAAAACTAAACGCGACAAGTATGGCTATAATATTTGGTATATAGCCATAAAGACTATCTTTGGGGCTTATTTTTATATCAATGATTTCAAAATTATATACTAGAATACTATTAGCAAATACCGCCTCTGTTATTTGCCTTATTAAAGCTATACCTATTTGTGATTTCAGAACATGAATCAGACTATATATGTCAGTTCACAGACGAGAAAGACGATTGTTTGTTTCGGTTTGGCTATTCCTACGAACAAACTGGCGCCAAGTTCGTGAAGGCATCGACTGTCAAACGTACGTATACAATAAGGTAGTGATTCACATAACAAAGCCTGGACCGTCAAACGTACATATACAATAGGATGATGTTTCACATATCAAGGCCTGGACTGTCAAACGTACATATACATGTATACATTAAGTTGATGTTTCACATATCAAGTTTGTGAAGGCCTGGACTGTCAAACGTACGTATGCAATAAGGGGGGTTTCACATATCAAGTTTGTGAAGGCCTGGACTGTCAAACGTACGTATACAATAGGGTGGTGCTTCACTTAACACATTCGTGAAGGCCTAGACTGTCAATCGTGCTTATACAATAAGGTGTAGCTTCACATAACAAGTTCGTGAAGGCCTGGACTGTCAAACGTACGTTTACAATAGTGTGGTGCTTCACATAACAAGTTCGTGAAGGCCTGGACTGTCAATCGTACGTATACAATAGTGTGGTGCTTCATATAACAAGTTTGTGAAGGCATGGACTGGCAAACGTACGTATGCAATAGGGTGGTGCTTCACATAACAAGTTCGTGAAGGCCTGGACTGTCAAACGTACATATACAATAGGGTGGAATTTCACATATCAAGTTCGTGAAGGCCTGGACTGTCAAACGTACGTATAAAATAGGGTGGAGCTTCACATAACATGATTGGGAACGTTTCTGTGATTATTTAAACTAAATGTTTACTCATACTGTGGATACATTGGGAATAGTATCGTTTGTATTGCTTCGTATTGATATGTTCTAATTTCGATTTGTCATATAAGTACTAAGGTGCAAATAAAATTAACTTTATTGATAAGTACATTTTAATGGTGAACATTTTCGCGGTATATGTCATGAGGGAACTACTTACAGACATAGTTATGATGGACTATATGTTGATAATTATACCCCATGCATTAATTATACCCCATAACAATGTACTTTTCAATCCTTATATATACATGTATATATATAGAAAAAATAAAATTAACGACCGACTAAAAAACTAGCTGCTTTCACCCTTCACAGGGCTCTTCAGGTTTCAGGTATATATATATATACGTCCTTTTTAGAAGCTTTCAACAATAACAGACAGTATATACCAATTAGCACATATGTAGAACAGCCCGTGGGAACATCCTGTAGTGTAGTAGCTTCATTGGTTCCCGAATACCCCAAAGATCCACGTTCTTGCTTGAACACAAACGTTACATTTTGATTTGGTAGATTGATCTGGAAGATACGTGGTCCTAAAACAAATATAAGCCTAATGATACTATTGTTTTCCCCATATACAATGTACGTGTGTCATAAACTAACATACGTTTTTAAATGCAAAAATCAACACTTAATCTATACGTATGTACTGCGCCAGTCATCAACCCATAGGGTATGACAGTACAGGGTGGTCGGGTGGCGCAGTAGATAACGCACTCACCCTTCACCAAGGCGGCCGTGGTTCGATTCCATGATATCTACAGGTTGTACAAAGTACGGAGTCACCTGCCCGACCACGTGAGTTTTTTCCGGGAGCTGCGATGTCCTTCCATATCAACACTGTCAGTCTAGGTTTTTTCAAGAAACAAAAGTAGCAGTATATGTTTATTGCAATATCATATGACTTTAGTAGAGAAAAACGTTCTTTTTGGGATAGATAGTTATAAGATAAAATATAATCGATAGGCCAGGAAATGGGGCTGAAATGACGAGATAGATAGGGCAGTTTAGTTAATGTTCCAGACAAACATCTCTCCCCCCAAAAAATACGAGTTCATCGAATTTTATGTCAGATAATGATGAAATCCAGATTTTTTCTCAATGTGTTTCTATATATCATTATCGATGTAAGTATTGCCAAAGTACAGGTTACGTTACAATCTGATACAGCTCTACACGCAAGACCCCATTAATTGAAACGTTTTCTATACATCAAGCATGTATATTTGTTCCGAATGGGCCATAAAACTTCAGCAGATATTTTGGCTGATACCGTATCTACTGTAAAGTTTCCCTCGCTGTCTACATGTTAACCCTAGAATCCCAGTGATAACACTATACGATACCGTATTTTCCTCAAAGTTTCCCTCGTTGTCCTAACATGTAAACCCTAGGGTCTCAGTGAAATTATACTTTATGATACTATATTTATCTTAAAGTTCTCCTAGCTGTCCTAACATGTAAACACTAGGGTTTCGGTGAAACTACACTACATAGTACCTAATGTACATTAAAGTTCCCCACACTGTCCCTAGGGTACATGTAACAGGGAAATTAAACTAGATGACACCGTATTTATCTTAAAGTTTCTCACGCTGTCCTAACATGTTAACCTTAGGGTCTCAGTGAAATTATACTAAGTTTAAGTTGAAGTTTTATTTTACACTCATGACACACGAGGTGTGTTACAAGAGGTCAACGTTTTGATACATTTCAATTACATAGCAAAGTGAGTACAGATTGTGTATACAACATGTAAATATATAATACTACAGAATAATAGCACTGCATTTATCTTATGTCAATTAAAGCCTTAATTGTTTTCACCAGAAAACGACTTATTAGATGATACCGAATTTATCTTAAAGTTCCCCACGCTGTCCTAATATGAGAACCCTAGGGTACATGTAACAGTGAAATTAAACTATATGATACCGTATTTATCTTAAAGTTCCTCACGCTGTCCTAACATGTTAATCTTAGGGTCTCAGTGAAATTATACTAGATGATACCGAATTTACCTTAAAGTTCCCCTCGCTGTACTAAACATGAAAACCCTAGGGTCCCAGTAATACAACATATAATTCAGTTCCCCATTCTACCCTAACACATTAAACCTTTTGTCTCAGTAATAAGATACTACACTACATGTAGCTGTAGCTGATACCGTATTTAGCTTAAAGTTCCCCACGCTGTTCCAACATGTCTTAGGGCCTCAGTAATAACCGGAAGAGTCTATGATCACATCACTACTTTATGGAATCCACTCGCGGCAATTTTAAACATCGCAGCATCGTTATCGTACCTTTATATACAACTCGGTAACCTGGACAATACTTCAACTTCAGTTTCTCGATATACACACTTATCTTTACCTACAAGTTGTGCTTAGTCAGCGGCAACCTATTACGTGTTTCTCTTATCCAGTAAACCCTTACAACATTTGATAAGTGCATGTTGTATTACTTTGACGAATGTTCAATTTTTCTTCTTATTCCAGAGTGTCCAGGACCTGGCAATAATGACCTAGACATGACCTTGGACCCGGAAGTTAACCCCGTTCAGAGTGACGCGCCTACTGGCTTCCAGGGCAGTGGAGACCCGGATAATAATGGCGCAAGCGTACCTTCGGTCAGTCTCTTAACAACTTTTGGAACCATTCTCGTTGTATTATTCCGGTTATCGTGATAGTGAATAGATAGATATGTATATATTCAGTGGCAGCCGTCGGACATGCTCCTTTGTTGTCAAAGACGGAGGGATAGCTGCCTATGGAGACATCTACGGGTGATTTACGGACCAGGGACATTGCTGAATTTAACTCTACTGTGTGTGTACCTTGGGGTCTTCGAACGAGAAATGGAAATCCGAAAAGATCGAAAAGATCCGCAAAAGCCATGGACAAATTAGACCATTAAACACCAAACTGCAATGTATTATACATTCAATCACTCCAGTTTCACAATAATAGTCGAGCCATTTTACATGCCGCCATGCCTTGAATGTCTTTTATCCGGGTGTTTCCTTGGCGTACAGTTGTATTTGCCTTATTAAGATCAGAACTTTTCGCGTCTTTCAACACATGGGCGCTCACCACGTGCTTATGACACCGTCAAAACTCAAAGTGAACGTCCATTACACAGAGCTGCTTCTTGAAGTGTGACGTACTACACATATTGCATTTAGCCTCCTGGTGCGACATACGACACACGTGCAATTCGTTAGATCATGAAAGTGGGAGGACGGACTGCACTTTAATCGTCATAGTGTGACATAGTACGCATCTAATTGGCTCTTGCCACACAGTTTATCGGATAATATATTATGACGTACTACACATCTTGCTAATTACTGTAGTGTGACGTATATGTGCATTACTCTCATTCTCGTTAGAATCGATGTAGTCACACAGGGCTGTTGTCATCTGACGTACAACACATCTTTGCTGGATTCTGTTGTGACGTTTAACAGATCTCGTGAGATATTACATACGTTCGTTTTAGTGACGTTCTGAGTTCCAGGTGTCATCGACATGAATACGGCAAGATTTAGTAACTTTGTATAATAATACCATATTGTTCTATTGTATCTCTTCGTGTTATTTCTATGAATATTATTATAGTATATTATTTATTTATTTCACCAGTCATAAAATCAACTTTTATGGAAATGCTGTACATGTGTATGGATGAACGGGCATTTAGTGTCTTTGGAATAATGTTCCTATTGCTTCGGTAATAATTAACTAGAATGTTGCTGACGTATATTTGTAAGATACTTATTTATTGTGTCGTGCTTTTTAGGGTACTACGGTTTTGTGGTATTAGTTTTTTTTCCTAAAGGTGACAGTGCATCGTTGTTTGGTACCCCTCATACCGCGACAGAAACTGTCCGTTAATGACGTCAACGCACGCGTCAGTGTCTACACCAAGATATAACCAAATTTAGCTATCTACGTGGCTACTGGTTAAAACCTCCCAAATATGTAAGCATATTACAATAAAAACATATGCTTTATTCAGGCAGCTGAAGCAACTAAGAAAAGATGTATTTCATCTTTAGAATTTCCTCGCGTGAATTGTCTGAATTATATTTTTAACAAACACTGTAAATTGTTAATTGATTTATCGATTTCCCTGACCCTTTTCACCTTAGGAATGTTGCTACTTCAGATTGGAGACCTTACACTCTTGCACTGTAGGAATTATGTAATTATGTTGCCAACACACTAAGCGCCGTCGGACGGTGTGTCCCAACACGCTTCCGTAGTTTATATCTTATAACATTCCTCTATCTGCCGTCTGTAAATGTAACTGGAGTAGATGGGACTTCCGTCTGTAAATGTTACTAAAGATGGGACTTCCGTCTGTCAGTGTTACTATAGATGGGACTTCCGTCTGTCAGTGTTACATTAGTAGATGTGACTTCCGTCTGTCAGTGTTGCATTAGTAGATTTGACTTCCGTCTGTCAGTGTTACATTAGTAGATGTGACTTCCGTCTGTGAATGTTACTAAAGATGTGACTTCCGTCTGTCAGTGTTGCATTAGTAGATGTGACTTCCGTCTGTCAGTGTTGCATTAGTAGATGTGACTTCCGTCTGTCAGTGTTGCATTAGTAGATGTGACTTCCGTCTGTCAGTGTTGCATTAGTAGATGTGACTTCCGTCTGTCAGTGTTGCATTAGTAGATGTGACTTCCGTCTGTCAGTGTTGCATTAGTAGATGTGACTTCCGTCTGTCAGTGTTGCATTAGTAGATGTGACTTCCGTCTGTCAGTGTTGCATTAGTAGATGTGACTTCCGTCTGTCAGTGTTACATTAGTAGATGTGACTTCCGTCTGTGAATGTTACTAAAGATGGGACTTCAGTCTGTCAGTGTTGCATTAGTAGATGTGACTTCCGTCTGTAAATGTTACTGTAGCGGATGTGACTTTCGTAAATGCATGCTACTTATGTCTGTATTAGATATGAGTTCCGTTTGTCAATGTTACTTTACATGTAGTAGTTATGACTTAGTCAGTGAATTATACTGTAGGTGTAGCTACCGTATGTGAATGTAACTGTAGTACATTTTTGTAGATGTGACTTCCGTCAGTGAATGTTACTGTAGATGTGACTTCCGTCTGTCAATATAACTGTAGTAGATGTGACTTCCGTCAGTGAATGTTACTGTAGATGTGACTTCCGTCTGTCAATGAAACTGTAGTATATGTGACTTCCGTTAGTGAATGTTACTGTAGATGTGACTTCCGTCTGTCAATGTAACTGTAGATGTGACTTCCGTCTGTCAATGTTACTGTAGTAGATGTGACTTCCGTTAGTGAATGTTACTGCAGATGTGACTTCCGTCTGTCAATGAAACTGTAGTATATGTGACTTCCGTTAGTGAATGTTACTGCAGATGTGACTTCCGTCTGTCAATGTTACTGTAGATGTGACTTCCGTCTGTCAATGTTACTGTAGATGTGACTTCCGTCTGTCAATGTTACTGTAGTAGATGTGACTTCCGTTAGTGAATGTTACTGCAGATGTGTCTTCCGTCTGTCAATGAAACTGTAGTATATGTGTCTTCCGTTAGTGAATGTTACTGTAGATGTGACTTCCGTCAGTAAACGTGGCTATGGTAATTGTGACTTCCTTGTTATCTGTGAATGTTACTAAAGATGGGACTTCAGTCTGTCAGTGTTGCATTAGTAGATGTGACTTCCGTCTGTCAGTGTTACTGCAGATGTGACTTCCGTCTGTCAATGTTACTGTAGATGTGACTTCCGTCAGTAAACGTGGCTATGGTAATTGTGACTTCCTTGTTATATTGACGTTGTAACAATGTAATAGGACTTTAAGTAAGGATTTTACTTTTATAGCATTAAGAAACGTTTTTGGTAAGCGATCATTACTTTTATATGATCTTTCGAGATTCCTTACGTAAACACTAAAGAATATTTTGGGATTTAATCGGATGATATGTCGAGTGCGGCAGCAATGTGCTACCTGTACTAAATATCTATGTGGCAGACCCAGACAATCCGTCTGATGGAATAATTCAAAACTTGCGTACATACTTCTGACTGCAAAGAGGTGCAAAACAGCAGGGCGTTTTGTTGAAACTTCCGATACATATATATCTTAACAGACAAATCTGAATTCAAAATTCCTATCATTGTCATTTAATCTGTCCCAAATATAAATGGACATATTGTGTACATGAATTTCTATGTTGCGTGAGTACTACGTGAGTACTACGTGAGTACTACGATGAATGCTGGGAGGTTTCTGCAGCACTACCTCTTCCAAGGTCAATTAAAATATACGACATGAATAAAGATCTCGGAAACGGATTTATATAAGTTATTTCAGCTTGTTTCCGGATCCCATTCCTCTGTACTTTGTATGTTGTGTGATGTTATGCAACTGAATTTGGAATGAAATAAAGTTTATATTAAAGATCTTTATCGAATGGTTCTCCAATTAAAACACCGACACTGTTGTTGTACATGTAGAGTTTGTGTTTATCGTTTTCCTCAGTATAACCAATCAATCTTTTTCTATGTTGTAAACATTTAGTTTTTCACCACTTTTGTAAGAACATATATATATTATCATTTCCTTGTTGAATGTGTTTAAATGTTGTGATTATTATACTATATCGTGTAACCGAAGCTGTATATTTGTTGTAGATGAATATACCACCGACATATGATGATGTCACGGTTGCGTCACTTGACATAGATGTTCTATGTATATAATTTAGTGTATATATTGTATGACGTCATCACCTTTTTTCAAGTTTTCTATAATTATGTTTAAGATGGAGGTCATTATAACCCCGCCATCATCAGTAATAACAGCACCTTGTACATATCCCACAAATTCACAGATTTAAACATTGGAGCCACTTCCTATGTGTGCAGTTGTTAAAACACATCTGCTTTCAATGATTTAACTAAGTTTTCTACCCTGCTAGTAATGCACTGTTTTGTGTGTGTTTGTGTAGAAGTAGAAGTTGCGCGCCGATATGCTGAGTGGCACTGCTTTGATAACTTAACGATGGAAACAGCAGTGTTTCTTTCATAATTCCTGGATATTCTATAATAAATAAATTGGTTTTCTTCCGTTCATATTCATTTTACACTTTAAAAGAAACACCCATATTTACCAAAGGTGTAACCAACATCTCTTTATTGAAGTGGTATTGATGTTTTACTGTTGACGAAGCTATAAGTTGTTAGGTATCGGTTAGAGAGTACGCTTCCTGTTCCGTTGCCAGTCACCCAGCCTGTCTGCGGTGTACGCCCCCCTAATCCCCTGTGATGAGGGGATAACCCGTAAGTATGTGTAAGTGTCTAGAGTATTAAATGGCTTACATTTGTACATAATTGTAAATAGTAGGTGTACGTATTTAAAGAGCCTCGTTCTGTGTATTCCCCTGTGTAAAGCACCTTCGGCTCGGTTTGTCGGCTCGTGGCTCGTCCTGTAGTGGTTATACGATATGGAAATTAATGCAATAAATGTACGAAAATTGTCTACTTGTGTGTTTTACTTTGTTGGTAATTGAAACCTGAAGTGTTTACGTGTTATGTGGCGACGAGTTGCGTAAACACGGTGAAATAACCGGCCAAAGTTCCCACGAAGACAGGTAAGCAGAGAAGTAATGGCGACAGTGTGGGCAGTGAAATCGTCGTACTGAAATTTTGTCATTTTATATGATTCACACCATGCGATTAAATAGGCTCAGTGATAAAGATTCATGCAGTATTAATAATTTGCAATTTTTTAAAGTTCAATATAGACCCCAATATTGACAATAATTCTAGTATCGACCCCAGTATTACAATCAATGATGATGATTTTGCCTTCAAATCAAATAAAGGATAAACTGGATGCAGTAATATAAATTGATTGATTAGTGTGGAAGTAATAACTGAGAGCTCTGGCAGCATGTAATGTATTACAGAATTCCTATTGGACAACCCTGGATACGTAACACATGGTAATTACTTAATGTAGCGTCATCAATAACTCCGTGTAAAACGCCAGCTGATGATGGCGCATTGATCCACAGCACACTGGCAGTGCTAGCACTATATGCTGATTAAGTCACAGGTTCTCAACCATTATAAAATTCGTTTGTAAATATTGTAACAATAATACATAAACAGAGCTGATTGGGGGATAATTGTAGTAAATAATGAGTTTCCTTGGCACAATTACGTAAATTATGCATAAACACGGTGTACAGTGACGGTGAAGGAAATAGTTTGTAAATAAACTCAACAGGACCTATTTGATTATGATCAGGGAAGCAGGAGACTAACTGGTATTGGCCGGCCATAAAGTTGGGTATATGTGCATATCGTTAAAATATAACCATGTGTTATAGTCGAAATTTCAACAAGAGGCCTGTCAGGCCTGTATCGCTCAACTGTTTATTTTGTTATCTGAAGAAAACAAAAAGTTGTTATCTTTCCACTGAGAAGTAAGAAGTAATTTTTTGAAAGGCCATTGGTTAAATTGATCTAGTGGAAAAGGAAATCAGTAAAACACAAATGCCAATTCGAGGGCAATGCATCCATTTCGGCTTTTGCTTCAACAACGCTACAGATCGATACCAGTACCTGTTCAGGACTATGATATCATCAGATCTAGTCTGGTAAGTATGGGCCTGGTGGATACAAAGTTAAAATGTCTCCGCCAATCAGCGGACAGATGTACCTGTTTGTTTATGAATTGGTTCGAAAATACTAACGCTTCGCCGAGGACCTAAGAGGAACAATTTTGTCGAAATCTGGCTGATGGAAGTTAAGAACAAATGTTTTAACCAATCAGAAGACAAGGTGGAAATCTTGGATTTCAATCAGAAAATGAGTTTGTGTCACATTTATCTCATTCGTCCCCATCCTTTTCTCCAAAAGACAGCCATTCCTCGTTATTTATACTACAGCGTCGAATTCCTTCATCCAGTGATGTTATATATTTATTCCAAATTAGGTCCAAATCCGTATTTCAGGAATAGTTTTTCAAAGTGTAAACCGCGTTTCCTATTCCTGACTCGCGCATAACATTCTTTTAGACTACAAATAATTTATCAACTGGCTCAGAGATGATCCATACAAAATGGTCTAAATTCCTACACCCGTTCTAGACTAATAATCTTTCAAAGGAAAGCTGACGACAGACGCCGCACCAAGGCATCATTAAGCTCGCTTGGTTCTATGTGCCACATAAGCTAACAACGGAAGTGGAACTGTAGAATCCATTAAGTAGGTCAAGTTTACGTCATCTTGAGGAGGATTGATATCATCAGTAGTCAAAACCGATAGACACGCACATTTGTACACATTACATGTGCACGTGCTTTTCTTCTGGCCTAATTGAAAGTTAAGGAAATGTAACATGATCCGAACACCTTCCGTCTAGCTTCACCGGGGCTGCAATCACGGCAAATAGGAGAGATAGTTCAAAGTAATAGAAAGACTTACTTTTAAACAAACATTTTTTTTCTTATAATTTGAACATTCCGGAACTGGGATGATGGTGATCCCTAAAATGACTGTTATAAGTAGCTTTTCTATTATAAGCTTCTTGGTGTGAAGCATACTAGCTTCTCTACCCACGGGTTTCAGTTTAATTTGGCTCCGCTTTTCCTTCCTCTCTGTAGGATACCAAGGAGACTAAAATTTGATATGTTGCCCCCCCTCCTCCCCCCTCNCTTATTCCCGCTGTCATTTTTGTTTCTCTGGACTTAACTTGTTAGCAATTTGTCATAATAATTTTAGTCTTTGAGGTAGCCACCGTGTCTAATGTGTGTCGTGTCAGTGTGATATCATTTGAATGGTCACCGAGCTGCAGTGTACACCGTCAAATGACCACGTAAACCCCCATACACTCGTAGAACGAACAAACTCGATCAGATATAATACAGTATGCTGTATATTATATTTTTATTTTCATCTGCGACATTTCTTTACTAAACGTAAATTGAATCTGGTCTCTATGACCGAACATTTCCAACAGTTAGTTTAACCATAAGTAGATGATCATTACATGGAAGGCACCTGTTAAAACAACCCCAAAGTCAAAATGCTTTTCCAATTTCGATTGTGTATCATATCCATAATGTAACATAATGTAATAGATATACATGTATGTCAATGCAAAAATGAGATGAAAGTATATCATTGAGGCGACAAATGTATTCATGAAAAATCGTATCCAAAAAATCTTTTGGAGAAAACATTTGCGCAGACAGTCCGATGGGGGAGTGTCCTCCCCGGAAATATATTGCAACATATCTCGATTGCTATTAACCAAACCCTTGGCCAGGAATTGTCAAGTGTCTATTCATTGGTTGCCAATTTGGCCTTCAGTCCGGCCGAGAAATACTTCTTGGCGAACTTTTCATCGCCGTACACGAAGTGTTGAGACATATCTGAGGAGTACTTGGAGGCCGGGGGTGTTCGTCCGTACACTTCTGCCACGATACGAGTGTAGTATGAGGCGTTTCCACAGCATAGACCGATGTAGCGGACACCCATCTCCTTGGCCTCGTTGGCAAACGCCCTGATTTGTGTCCGACTACAGAGCCAGGCGGGAAGGTCGTCGGGAAAGGCCATCTTACCTGCATGATGAATACAATAGCATTATTTAAGGTCATCCTCTTTACTAAACTTTTATATCGAAAACCACGGAAGTAAAAGGCACGCAACCATTAAAGGCTTGTCGTGGATATGGAGGTGGTACATTACAGCGAGGAAGCTTTGGAAATCATTATAAAACACCTTTAAGATATTACTGTAATATGGGACTACTTTTAGAGGGAGTTCATACGAGATGTTTGGCTTCCGTTTAGTGAATGCTTGACTCGCCTGTGTCCGCGTCCTTCAGAGAGTGCATCGTAGGATGTTCGTCCGTCGTTCGGTACGGGTTCGGTAAACAGGCCACTGGTCCCTGAAACCAACAACTTAATTTTGAAATATTTTTTTTACTCAAATGACAAACTGTTTTAGTACTGTTTATTGTGGACAACTCGGAATCTCTTGTCTCACCTAACCATCGTGTAATATGTTACTCTTTACATGTAGTTCTACTAAACAATACAAACTATTATAACTAGCTAAATCAGACAATTGCTGTTTTCGTTTCCGGCTCTCAAATTATTAAAGAATGAAGGTAGGTAACATCTTTGTTTAAATTATTAAAAAAACAGAAATACCGACACTATAAAGAGGAAGAAGAGATTGAAGATGAATACCATTTGTACTACAGTATGTAATACTCACCAACATTTAAGAAGACAATATTTAAAGAAAAATTACTGAAAAAAATCCATCTATGTTTAAATTTATACAATTATTTTGTGTAAACAACACCAAGGAACTGTGTCAACTTGGTAAATATATTTTGGAAGCAAATAAATTGAGAATTTAATTAGATATACATGCATGTACTAAACTCTCCACTTTGCACTGTTTGTCGTGCCATTATTTATTATGTAATGTTTTGACATATCTATGTACTGATGGGCCGTAAGGCCTAAAGTTAATAAAATTGAATTGAGCTTCAATCTTATTCAGTGAAACAAACAAGCTAGACACACATTATGTTTGCCTTGCATGAATAAATAGCTGTAAACAGATATGGTACACTTACATCATGATATCAACATGAGAGAAAATTACAATTTCGTCCGAGATGAAACAAGTGTATGTAATTACACGCAACCTAATATAATACATGTGCAGGGGCATACGAATTCGGCAGGGAGCTCGATAGTTTGGCAGGGAGCTCGACAAATCTCATCAGGAATCACACCCCGACGTGATAAATGTTATCATTCCGAGTTCCTTATAACGTTTGATTTACTCACAGTTAGAGCTATGTGTAACAAAATCAAGTGAGACGGGAGTGAATTATTCGCACCACGCGCAGGCAAAATCCCAGACGAAACGAGAAACAGGGCCCCATGTCTTTGATGCTGATGAAATAATTAATGACAAATGTGTAATTGTAATAAACTTAGTCTAGTGCTGTAATGCCAGTGAAGCCGATTGCGAACAGCCTCGGTACTGCATAGGAACAGCAAAATATATTTTGGTCGAACAAAGTATTCAGCCTCATAAATTTTCAGTTTCCACAAATACTTTATCTCTTTAAATAGGGGACATGTGCTTTTCATTTACTGACATATGACTAGGCATTTATCATGGGAAGACAACTCCATTCCAACCAGGAAGGGAAACGCCCTTCCTCGTTAGAGATCTAGTTCCGGGATGTACTCAGATTTTTTCAATAAACGTTCAGAAGACCATGACTGGTGAGAAGCGCACCAGCACGAGGCGGATGCCGACCTCGCCATATCTGAGAGATGTCACACCAGCTGTCTGGAGGATCAGCTGGTCCCGCCCCCTCCCTGGTCTTACCGTAACTACTTCTTGACAAACACTCAGATATCAATCTCCGGGGTAAACGCCGACAGCGATTATTGGACTGTAAGGTAATAACTCGAGTTTACAAAGGAGAAGCGCCGCCAGGTTATAACTGACTCCACTGTAGACAAGTGTGGGTGATGTTAATTCTACAAACAGGGGGTTATGTTCCTTGAAAACAATTTTAATATCGAGACAAAGATTATTATCCAAATGGTGTTGATGGCATCTCAAACAGCATGAAATTAACTAAAACATTACAGCGTGCCGTCCCATTACATCCACGCCGTATGGAGCTTGAACAGGACTTACACAACCAACGTTAACGTGGTCTTACACGAGACTTGGACAGGACTTACACAACCAACGTTACCGTGGTCTTACACGAGACTTGGACAGGACTTACACAACCATCGTTACCGTGGTCTTACACGAGACTTGGACAGGACTTACACAACCAACGTTACCGTGGTCTTACACGAGGCTTGGACAGGACTTACACGAGACATGGACAGGACTTACACAACCAACGTTAACGTGGTCTTACACGAGACTTGGACAGGACTTACACAACCAACGTTAACGTGGTCTTACACGAGGCTTGGACAGGACTTACACGGGACTTGGACAGGACTTACACAACCAACGTTAACGTGGTCTTACACGAGGCTTGGACAGGACTTACACGGGACTTGGACAGGACTTACACAACCAACGTTAACGTGGTCTGACACGCAGTCCAATCCATTCCCTCCTTTCATCTTCATTATAGATTCATTAGTTTTCGGTAAATTATTTATTTCAAAACTAGTTTTTAGAAATTTTCGAGAGCAAAAATTTGCTTTTCCCTAACATAATTGTTTTTAATGACCTCTGTCAATACAAATATTCATCTATTGTATCCTGTTTGTAGATGTTTACCATACGTTTTATGTTTTCTGTGTATACATACTTTCACTCTCGTTTGGTTCTGTAACAATATCTGCCCTCTTTCATGGATCTGTACATTATTTGCCACGAGCCAACCTTTATTCTGCAGAAATATTCGCCTATCCTGTTTGTAGATGGGTAGAAATGTTGCCCTCTTGTATGCTTTTGGAGGATTAATTGCAACGAGTAATTCTTTGTTCTGTAGAATCATTTGCCTTTCCATTTTATTCTGTAGATTTATTAGGTTACCAATGTGTTCAATGGAAGTATTTCCATACACGATTGTTCTCTTCTGTTATGTAGTGTTTTTATACATCTGGTCCGTGGTAAATAAGTGCTGTACTGTTCTGTTATGTAGTGTTTCTATACATCTATTCCGTGGTGAATAATTGCTGTATTGTTCTGTTATGTAGTTTTTCTATACTTCTATTCCGTGGTAAATAAGTGCTTTATTGTTCTGTTATGTAGTTCTTCTATACATTTAGTCCGTGGTAAATAAGTGCTGTATTGTTCTGTTCTCTAGTGTTCCTATACATCTATTCCGTGGTAAATAAGTGCTTTATTGTTCTGTTATGTAATGTTTCTATACATCTATTCCGTGGTAAATAAGTGCTGTATTGTTCTGTTATGTAGTTTTTCTATACATTTAGTCCGTGGTAAATAAGTGCTGTATAGTTCTGTTATGTAGTGTTCCTATACATCTAATCCGTGGTAAATAAGTGCTGTATTATTCGGTTATGTAGTGTTTCTATACATATATTCCGTGGTAAATAAGTGCTGTATTGTTCTGTTATCTAGTGTTCCTATACATCTATTCCGTGGTAAATAAGTGCTGTATTGTTCTGTTATGTAGTGTTTCTATACATCTATTCCGTAGTAAATAAGTGCTGTATTGTTCTGTTATCTAGTTATCCTATACATTTAGTCCGTGGTAAATAAGTGCTGTTTTGTTCTGTTATGTAGTGTTTCTATACATCTATTCCGTGGTAAATAAGTGCTGTATTGTTCTGTTATCTCGTGTTTCTATACATTTAGTTCGTGGTAAATAAGTGATGTTATGTTCTGTTATGTAATGTTCCTATAAATCTATTCCGTGGTAAATAAGTGCTGTATTGATCTGTTATCTAGTGTTCCTATACATTTAGTCCGTGGTAAATAAGTGCTGTATTGTTCTGTTAGGTAGTATTTCTATACATCTAATCCGTGGTAAATAAGTGCTGTATTGTTCTGTTAGGTAGTATTTCTATTCATCTAATCCGTGGTAAATAAGTGCTGTATTGTTCTGTTATGTAGGGTTTCTATACATCTATTCCGCGGTAAATAAGGGCTTTATTGTTCTTTTATGTAGTTTTTCTATACATTTAGTCCGTGGTAAATAAGTGCTGTATTGTTCTGTTATGTAGTGTTTCTATACATCTATTCCGCGGTAAATAAGTGCTTTATTGTTCTTTTATGTAGTTTTTCTATACATTTAGTCCGTGGTAAATAAGTGCTGTATTGTTCTGTTAGGTAGTATTTCTATACATCTAATCCGTGGTAAATAAGTGCTGTATTGTTCTGTTATGTAGTGTTTCTATACATCTATTCCGCGGTAAATAAGTGCTTTATTGTTCTTTTATGTAGTTTTTCTATACATTTAGTCCGTGGTAAATAAGTGATGTTATGTTCTGTTATGTAATGTTTCTATACATCTATTCCGTGGTAAATAAGTGCTTTATTGTTCTGCTATGCAGTGTTTCTATACATCTATTCCGTGGTAAATAAGTGCTGTATTGTTCTGTTATGTAGTTTTTCTATAATCTTTTCCGTGGTAAATTAGTGCTGTATTGTTCTGTTATGTCGTGATTCTATACATCTATTTCGTGGTAAATTAGTGCTATATTGTTCTGTTATCTAGTGTTCCTTTACATCTTTTCCGTGGTAAATAAGTGCTGTATTGTTCTGTTATTAAATGTTTCTATACATCTATTCCGTGGTAAATAAGTGCTGTATTTTTCTGTTATGTAGTTTTTCTATACATCTATTCCGTGGTAAATTAGTGCTGTATTGTTCTGTTCTGTAGTGTTTCTATACATCTATTCCGTGGTAAAAAAGTGCTGTATTGTTCTGTTATCTAGTGTTTCTATACATTTAGTCCGTGGTAAATAAGTGATGTTATGATCTGTTATGTAATGTTTCTATACATCTATTCCTTGGTAAATAAGTGCTGTATTGTTCTGTACTGTAGTTTTTCTATACATCTTTTCCGTGGTAAATCAGTTCTGTATTGTTCTGTTATCTAGTGTTCCTATCCATTTATTCCGTGGTAAATAAGTGCTGTATTGTTCTGCTATGTAGTGTTTCTATACATCTATTCCGTGGTAAATAAGTGCTGTATTGTTCTGTTCTGTAGTTTTTCTATACATCTTTTCCGTGGTAAATAAGTTCTGTATTGTTCTGTTATCTAGTGTTCCTATACATCTATTCCGTGGTAAATAAGTGCTGTATTGTTCTGCTATGTAGTGTTTCTATACATCTATTCCGTGGTAAATAAGTGCTGTATTGTTCTGTTATCTAGTGTTCCTATATATTTATTCCGTGGTAAATAAGTGCTGTATTGTTCTGTTATGTAGTGTTTCTATACATCTATTCCGTGGTAAATAAGTGCTGTATTGTTCTGTTATCTAGTGTTCCTATCCATTTATTCCGTGGTAAATAAGTGCTGTATTGTTCCGATATGTAGTGTTTCTATACATCTATTCCGTGGTAAATAAGTGCTGTATTTTTCCGATATGTAGTGTTTCTATACATCTATTCCGTGTTAAATAAGTGCTGTATTGTTCTGTTATCTAGTCATCTATTCCGTGGTAAATAAGTGCTGTATTGTTCTGTTATCTAGTGTTTCTACATTTAGTCCGTGGTAAATAAGTGCTTTATTGTTCTGTTATGTAGTTTTTCTATAAATTTAGTCCGTGGTAAATAAGTGCTGTATTGTTTTGTTAGGTAGTGTTTCTATACATCTATTCCGTGGTAAATAAGAGCGGTATTGTTCTGCTATGTAGTGTTTCTATACATCTATTTCGTGGTAAATTAGTGCTGTATTTTTCTGTTATCTAGTGTTCCTATACATCTATTCTGTGGTAAATAAGTGCTGTATTGTTCTGTTATTTAGTGTTTCTATACATCTATTCCGTGGTAAATAAGTGCGGTATTGTTCTGCTATGTAGTGTTTCTATACATCTATTTCGTGGTAAATTAGTGCTGTATTGTTCTGTTATCTAGTGTTCCTATACATCTATTCTGTGGTAAATAAGTGCTGTATTGTTCTGTTATGTAATGTTCCTATACATCTATTCCGTGGTAAATAAGTGCTGTACTGTTCTGTTATGTAATGTTTCTATACATCTATTCCGTGGTAAATAAGTGCTGCATTGTTCTGTTATGTAGTTTTTCTATACACTTAGTCCGTGGTAAATAAGTGCTGTTTTGTTCTGTTATGTAGTTTTTCTATACACTTAGTCCGTGGTAAATAAGTGCTGTATTATTCGGTTATGTAGTGTTTCTATACATCTAGTCCGTGGTAAATAAGTGATGTTATGTTCTGTTATGTAATGTTTCTATACAGCTATTCCGTGGTAAATAAGTGCTGTATTGTTCTGTTATGTAGTGTTTCTATACATCTAGTCCGTGGTAAATAAGTGCTGTTTTGTTCTGTTATGTCGTGTTTCTATACATCTATTCCGTGGTTAATAGTGCTTTATTGTTCTGTTATGTAGTGTTTTTATACATCTGGTCCGTGGTAAATTAGTGCTGTATTGTTCTGTCATGTAGTGTTTCTATACCTCTATTCCGTGGTAAATTAGTGCTGTATTGTTCTGTTATGTCGTGTTTCTATACATCTAGTCCGTGGTAAATAAGTGCTTTATTGTTCTGTTATGTAGTTTTTCTATACATCTTTTCCGTGGTAAATAAATTCTGTATTGTTCTGTTATCTAGTGATCCTATACATCTAGTCCGTGGTAAATAAGTGATGTTATGTTCTGTTATGTAATGTTTCTATACATCTATTACGTGGTTAATAAGTGCGGTATTGTTCTGTTATGTAGTGTTTCTATACATCTATTCCGTGGTAAATAAGTGCGGTATTGTCCTGCTATGTAGTGTTCCTATACATTTATTCCGTGGTAAATAAGTGCTGTATTGTTCTGTTAGGTAGTGTTTCTATACATCTATTCCGTGGTAAATAAGTGCGGTATTGTTCTGCTATGTAGTGTTTCTATACCTCTATTCCGTGGTAAATAAGTGCTGTATTGTTCTGTTATCTAGTGATCCTATACATCTAGTCCGTGGTAAATAAGTGATGTTATGTTCTGTTATGTAATGTTTCTAGACATCTATTCCGTGGTAAATAAGTGTGGTATTGTTGTGCTATGTAGTGTTTCTATACCTCTATTCCGTGGTAAATAAGTGCGGTATTGTTCTGCTATGTAGTGTTTCTATACCTCTATTCCGTGGTAAATAAGTGCCGTATTGTTCTGTTATGTAGTTTTTCTATACATCTATTCCGTGGTAAATAAGTGCGGTATTGTTCTGCTATGTAGTGTTTCTATACCTCTATTCCGTGGTAAATAAGTGCTGCATTGTTCTGTTATGTAATGTTTCTATACATCTATTCCGTGGTAAATAAGTGTGGTATTGTTCTGCTATGTAGTGTTTCTATACCTCTATTCCGTGGTAAATAAGTGCTGAATTGTTCTGTTATGTAGTTTTTCTATACATCTATTCCGTGGTAAATACGTGCTGTATTGTTCTCATATATAATGTTTCTATACATCTATTCCGTGGTAAATAAGTGCTCTACTGTTCTGTTATGTCTAATTGTATACTTATCTATTTGTTCCGTTAAATATTTGCCTCCTATGTGTTCTGTATTTTATTATAACCTCTTTGTGACCTAGAATGTTGACATACGCCTCGCTTAGTATCTGGTAACCTGTTCTTCCATAGAATCATTTGCTTAGCCCCTTTGTCCGTACAAGTTAAACTATGTGCTTACCCTTTGTATTTTGTTTGTTGCCGCGTCTTCTGTAGCTTTGCTACATACTCTTTGAATTTTCGAAATATTTACTTCTCCCCTTGTTCGTCGATTCTTTTTGTTTTTCGGCCTCGTTTCCACTATTTCTCGTAGAACTATTTGCCTACCGCTGCATCCCGTAGAAATGCTGGCATGTTTTGTAGAACTATTTGCCTACCGCTACATCCCGTAGAAATGCTGGCATGTTTTGTAGAATTATCTGCCTATTGCTCCCACTGTTCTGAAGAGTTGTATCTCTATCCTTTATCTCCACTACTTCTAACAACCTTTTGTTACCAAGTGCCTTGCTCATACACACATGCATGCATACATTACACACATGGAGGCACGTCCCTTAACGACCTTAGCTGGATTTTAAACTATATCAAACCAAACCAATCCTTTTTCAATAGAAACGTTTACTCACCGTTGGGCTCTTTAAAATTATTTGCCTACTTTTTGTAAAATTCCTCCTGTTTCTCTTTCGTTCACTCAGTGTGTGCTTTCCTTCATTACCGTTCAATAAGTGTGTGCTTTCCTTCATTGCCGTTCACTAAGTGTGTGCTTTCCTTCATTACCGTTCACTAAGTGTGTGATTTCCTTCATTACCGTTCACTTAGTGTGTGCTTTCCTTCATTACCGTTCACTAAGTGTGTGCTTTCCTTCATTACCGTTCACTAAGTGTGTGCTTTCCTTCATTACCGTTCACTAAGTGTGTGCTTTCCTTCATTACCGTTCACTAAGTGTGTGCTTTCCTTCATTACCGTTCACTAAGTGTGTGCTTTCCTTCATTACCGTTCACTAAGTGTGTGCTTTCCTTCATTACCGTTCACTAAGTGTGTGCTTTCCTTCATTACCGTTCACTAAGTGTGTGCTTTCCTTCATTACCGTTCACTAAGTGTGTGCTTTCCTTCATTACCGTTCACTAAGTGTGTGCTTTCCTTCATTACCGTTCACTAAGTGTGTGCTTTCCTTCATTACCGTTCACTAAGTGTGTGCTTTCCTTCATTACCGTTCACTAAGTGTGTGCTTTCCTTCATTACCGTTCACTAAGTGTGTGATTTCCTTCATTACCGTTCACTAAGTGTGTGCTTTCCTTCATTGCCGTTCACTAAGTGTGTGCTTTCCTTCATTACCGTTCACTAAGTGTGTGATTTCCTTCTTTACCGTTCACTAAGTGTGTGCTTTCCTTCATTGCCGTTCACTAAGTGTGTGCTTTCCTTCATTACCGTTCACTAAGTGCGTGATTTCCTTCTTTACCGTTCACTAAGTGTGTGATTTCCTTCATTACCGTTCACTAAGTGTGTGCTTTCCTTCGTTACCGTGCACTAAGTGTGTGCTTTCCTTCATTACCGTTCACTAAGTGTGATTTCCTTCATTACCGTTCACTAAGTGTGTGCTTTCCTTCATTACCGTGCAATAAGCGTGTGCTTTCCTTCATTACCGTTCACTAAGTGTACTTACTTTGCAGCTTTTGATGATGTCACGTACGATTGGAAGCATGCTCTTCGGTCCTCTGTTACAATTAACACCAACTACGGCTGCGCCAGCCTCTTCCAACTTCCGGCACGCGTCTCCATAGAGGTAACCGTCAAACGTACTATAGGCACTGGACGGGGCAAAGGTGATGACAGCAGGTACACCTGGAGGTAAATGTTGGTCAAGGTAAACACGTGAGGGAGACAATTGAATTCGATGTAGACTAGTCAAAATAAACAGGTAAAGAGGACTGCGTTAGTAACGTAAACCAGTGAATTAAGTAGACTTAAAACAAGCAAAGAGTGTAAGCATGGAAAGCATATATATGTCGTTTATTATGTTATCTCTTGCTTTGACGTTTGACGTTCCTCTGTCTATATTTGTCCTCTTTTGTCCCTACGTTTTCCATCATATCCTATTTTATCGTATGCCTTGTTTGGGGTATACTCATCGTCTGTCCATACACACCTGTATCATGCTGTCTCTGAATACCTGTTTAATTTCTTGCCCTATGAAGTACCTTTGCCGTACGTCTTGATGGCCTCCAGAGCGAGGAGGGCTTCTCCAAAGTCGTTAAACGTTTCTCCAATGATGTAATCCACGTTGTACTCCATAGCCCATTCCACCTGTTCCTATAAATAGTTTATAAACACCTGTAGAATGTTACACAACTCACAACAAGGACATTGATGTCTTCCCTTCGATGAACAGTCTAACCAGTAATTACCATACATATATTAATTATTGAACATACACTTTCATTTTTACTTTATTTAGTTAAGTTCCGACAAAAATACTCTTAAGTTAACCTGACTGAAAAATTCTATTTTACATTAACATTATACTGATCGTTTACCGGAAGTGACGTACTTTGAACATGGCTGTGACATCACGGTGTGTCTCGGGGTCATCTTTGTCATACACTGTTGTATTACAGATGTCCCCCGCCATCAGAGTTCCCGTCTTGTCCGCCACCTCCCGGGCGATTTGTAGGGCCGTCCTCTGAAGTTTCTCAAGGTCATCCTCTCGGCCTATCGCACGGAGTTTCTCTCGATGACCGTAGTACTGTTTAAAGAGAATAACAGATATGGCTTTCCTTTACCGTATTGTTACTTTGTATATTGTAGATGTTTTGTTTGTCCGGCAGAGTCGTTAAAGATTTTTGCGATTTGTGTCGGGGAAACATCCATGTTATATGACGCGCTTGGTGGCACCACAGGTAGGGTTGCTTTATTTCATTGGTCAGACGAACGGTTTGTATAAAAAGCGGATTTGGAATTAAAAGCAAGTTTGAAAATGAAAGGTGTCACCTTAATTTACACACACACACGGAATTACGTCCATTTTGCGAAATCAGTGTTATTACCATACAACAATCACCTATATAATCAAGTACATTTTGTACCTGAACAGGTCATTTGTACATGTAGGTACCGAGACATTAGTCTGCCAAAACTGACAATAATCTCAGACTCCATAATTCTGACCAGTCGCCTGTTTATGGTCAGCTATCTACAGCTCTATAAAACACGGGGATTTGTCGCATAAATTATAAGGATCGAATTTGGATTTTTTACAATGCTCAAGTTTGAACGGGGATTTGGGGTTCTCTTACACACCACATGACCGAACCGGAGATGATCATACCAATGTATTGTCATTGTTGTCTCTAAGTATATATTGTTTAAAATTATATATAGAACCATAAACAATGCTTTATTGATGAATGTAAATTGTGACTGATAAGCTGGTATCTACCGTATAGGCCACTACGGTGTCACTGCCAGCGTGGACGAATTCTTCTGAGAGTAGGCGGAGCTGTTCAGGGTGTTCAAGGACCACTTCCGGTACAAATGCCCCGGCCTTTAGATAACCTCGACGCTCAAACTCGTACAGGTATCCTTCCGCCACTACCAGACTCTCGCCGTCAGCCAACCGTTCGGTCAAACCTGCCAACAACATATTGTTATGGCATAAGGGAAATAACTCCAACAAGAAAAGTCGGCAAACAACAATGATATTGAAATACTTTTACTGCAATGTTTAATATATTACACAAGAACAAACTCAATGAGAAGTGATGGTTATTAATATACCTACTTACTATATCTGGTTCATATCAGACCGTATCGGGTCCTAGCTATGCATATAAGGTTTTTTATATGGAACAAAATAAGCTCTACCCAAAATAACAACGGAAGGTTACGATCTGAAATGAGTATTGGAAAAATCATAATGGAATGTCGGGAGATCATAACCCATTTAAGGTTCCGGACATGAGTGGTTATAAGTGAAGCTAGATATGAAAATAGTGGTTCAAGTAAACAGTATACGTGTACAGGTTCAATCCTACTAGTACTGATACCTACAATACATCCACCCTACTAGTACTGATCCCTACAATACATCCACCCTACTAGTAATGTACTGTTACCTAAAATACATCCACCCTACTAGTACTGTCCTGATACCTACAATACATCCACCCTCCTAGTACTGTACTGTTACCTGCAATACATCCACCCTACCAGTGCTGTATCGATACCCACAATACATCCACCCTACTAGAACTGTAATGATACCTACAATACATCCACCCTACAAGTACTGTACTGATACCTACAACACATCCACCCTACTAGTACTGTACCTAGTACTGTACTGATACCTACAATCATCCACTCTACTAGTACTGTACTGATACCTACAATACACCCCCCCTACTAGTACTGTACTGATACCTTCAATACATCCACCCTACTAGTTCTGTACCGATACCTACAATACATCCTCCCTACTAGTACTGTACTGATACCTACGATACATCCACCCTACTAGTACTGTACTGCTACCTACAATACATCCACCCTACCAGTACTGTACCGATACCTACAATACATCCGCCCTACTAGTACTGTTCTGATACCTACAATACATCCGCCCTACTAGTACTGTTCTGATACCTACAATACATCCGCCCTACTAGTACTGTTCTGATACCTACAATACATCCACCCTACAAGTACTGTACTGATACCTACAACACATCATCCACCCTACTAGTACTGTACTGCTACCTACAATACATCCACCCTACCAGTACTGTACCGATACCTACAATACATCAACCCTACTAGTACTGTACTGATACCTACAATACATCCACCCTACTAGTAATGTACTGTTACCTACAATACATCCACCCTACTAGTACTGTACTGATACCTACAATACATCCACCCTACTAGTACTGTACTGTTACCTACAATACATCCACCCTACCAGTGCTGTACCGATACCTACAATACATCCACCCTACTAGTACTGTACTGATACCTACAATTCATTCACCCTACTAGTACTGTACTGATACCTACAATACATCCACCCTACCAGTACTGTACCGATACCTACAATACATCCACTCTACTAGTACTGTACTGATACCTACAATACATCCACCCTACTAGAACTGTACTGATACCTACAATACATCCACCCTACCAGTGCTGTACCGATACCTACAATACATCCACCCTACTAGAACTGTACTGATACCTACAATACATCCACCCTACTAGTACTGTACTGATACCTACAATCCATCCACCCTACTAGTACAGTACCGATACCTACAATTCATTTACCCTACTAGTACTGTACTGATACCTACAATCCATCCACTCTACTAGTACTGTACTGATACCTACAATACATCCACCCTACCAGTACTGTACCGATACCTACAATACATCCACTCTACTAGTACTGTACTGATACCTACAATACATCCCCCCTACTAGTACTGTACTGATACCTACAATACATCCCCCCTACTAGTACTGTACTGATACCTACAATCCATCCACCCTACTAGTACTGTACCAATACCTACAATACATCCACCCTACTAGTACTGTACTGATACCTACAACCCATCCACTCTACCAGGACTGTACTGATACCTCCAATACATCCACCCTCCTAGTACTGTACTGATCCCTACAATACATCCAACCTACTAGTACTGTATTGATACCTACAATACATCCTCCCTACTAGTACTGTACTGATACCTACAATACATCCACCCTACAAGTACTGTACTGATACCTACAACACATCCACTCTACCAGTACTGTACTGATACCTACAATACATCCACCCTACTAGTACTGTACTGATACCTACAATACATCCACTCTACTAGTACTGTACTGTTACCTACAATACATCCACTCTACTTGTACTGTACTGATACCTACAACACATCCACCCTACTAGTACTGTACTGATACCTACAATACATCCACTCTACCAGTACTGTACTGATACCTACAATACATCCACCCTACCGGTACTGTACTGATACCTACAATACATCCACTCTACTAGTACTGTACTGTTTACTACAATACATCCACCCTACTAGTACTGTACTGATACCTACAATTCGACTAGTGACCTTCACAGTACTACATGTACTCAGCTTTTGTAAAACGGGGACAAATCTCCCGCCGACACAGATTAACGCTATGTCAACATGACAGCCTTCACTCTCAACACCACACATGTTTACAAATACACGAGCCAACGCGTATAAGACATGTGCGTTGTATAGAAAATAATTAAGCTGGTTTATTTTGGGTTTTTTAAATCTTTTTCGATGCTGTGGTTTTTTACTCGAAGCTACGACAGTCGTCTTGCATGGTGCTGTACTGAACCACGAAAAATAACGCGCATATACTACAGTACAGCCTGAATGTATGCTAAACAGACCAACACATCAATAAAACGTGGCGCATACCGATCAATGATGTGTTGGTGAATTCTCGAGAATGCTCATTGTTTGCTAGTAAATAGTGTATGATTAGACTTACCTTTAGTGGGCATGGCTGTGCTCGATCCGCTTTGGTCAGCGTGTGGTCAGCCGTGTCAGGGTCAGATGACCTGATGTACTCGCCGGTCTGATAATTGTAATCTCCGACGTATATCTGCTGCCTGTACTCTAGGTAAGTTGTAGTTACGCCCCCTGGTGTACAGTTTATTATATGGATCACGTTCTGTCGAGGGTTTGATAAACAAGTTTCAACAAATGACATATGTGTTTAACAAGTCACGTTGGAGCACCGAATCCCATGTCCCATTGCAGAAATAAAAATCATGGTCAAGGTAGCCGGTCTGACTACGACGATACTCGGTACACGTGCTACTGTTGTGTCAACACTATCGTGTATTGGTGTAGATAACGTCCTTGACTCGACAGACGCTTTACTTTTAGCGAACATGAACTCCTTTTATCATGAAGTCCTTGAACATTACGTTATCGTCATTCAAATGCAATGTTGTATTATCATTATTGTTTCATATCCGATTGTTTCCCTCCCTTCAGTTGACACTGCGGACTGTAATGTAAAGAAATAAACATTGCGCATTGTGTTGTTAGATGTTAATGCTCATTTTCTCATAAGCAACGTTGTAGATATAAGTAGTTATGTTCCTCATTTGAAAGCGCTAAGGAGGTACGTAGAAACTCTTTTCATTTGTTATATATATATATATACATATATTTACATTTGCTCTGCATGGCCACTATATAACACTACCTAGGCCAGTTCCGTGTTATGAGACCATAACACAGGCTGGTGATATATCTCCACGTGTCCGACTAACTACCGGATCTTTATTCCTCTCCCCACTAGCGAGTAGATAAGTAAAATAGCCAAAATGATTAAAAATGTTCACTATGTAAGCCTATTATTAAATGTGAATTAAATATGTATATCGATTAAATTATGGAAATTGTATCGATATTTTTGTGTTAATTTCCAAGAACTATGTATTTTACGGGGAAAGTCAAGAGACAACATTCCGTGAGCAGTTCCATGGGTTGTTCTTCCTTTTAAACAAATACCGCTAAATTTTGAACTAAGAAGTGAAAATGAAAATATTATGAAAAGAGTAAATATAAGCATAACACAGCATTTTAATCCTTGTTGTGGTCTATAACACGGAACAGATTGTTGTATAATTCTTAAATATCTAAACAATCCAACTCGCGTATTCCGATATCTCTTTTTATACAATTATGCTAACAAACTATATGACGAAGAAATGAACGAACGTGTGCCTTTAGGTTGTGAGGTAGAACGTGTGCCGTTAGGTTGTGAGGAAGAACGTGTGCCGTTAGGTTGTGAGGTAGAACGTGTGCCGTTAGGTTGTGAGGTAGAACGTGTGCCGTTAGATTGTGAGGTATAACGTGTGCCGTTAGGTTGTGAGGTAGACGTGTGCCGTTAGGTTGTGAGGTAAAACGTGTGCCGTTAGGTTGTGAGGTAAATCGTTTGCCGTTTGGTGTGAGGTAGAACGTGTGCCGTTAGGTTGTGAGGTAGAACGTGTGCCGTTAGGTGTGAGGTAGAACGTGTGCCGTTAGGTGTGAGGTAGAACGTGTCGTTAGGTTGTGAGGTAAAACATGTACCGTTAGGTGTGAGGTAGAACGTGTGCCGTTAGGTTGTGAGGTAGAACGTGTGCCGTTAGTTTGTGAGGCAGAACGTGTGCCGTTAGGTGTGAGGTAGAACGTATGCAGTTAGGTTGTGAGGTAGAACGTGTGCCGTTAGGTGTGAGGTAGAACGTGTGCCGTTAGGTTGTGAGGTAGAATGTGTTCCGTTAGGTTGTGAGGTAAAACGTGTGCCGTTAGGTGTGAGGTAGAACGTGTGCCGTTAGGTTGTGAGGTAGAACGTGTGCCGTTAGGTTGTGAGGTAGAACGTGTGCCGTTAGGTGTGAGATAGAACGTGTGCCGTTAGGTTGTGAGGTAGAACGTGTACCGTTAGGTTGTGAGGTAAAACGTGCTTTCTGCGTTTGGGTTCCGTTGTCTATGGAAGAAACGTGTTTGGATAAAATTGACAAGGGCAATAACTCATGATATGATTGTAAATATTGTGAATCTCGGTGAAGAACTCCGATGATGTAGGATACAGCGGGACTTTCTGAAAAAAGTATCAAGTGGTTTCCGATCATGTAGGATTAAATACCTTTCCAAAATGTATAGATATACCCGATCATGTAGGATTATATCCGATCAAGCAGGATGCAGCAGGGCTTCGCTTCGGGAAATAGGTCTGATCTTGCGGATTCACAAACTTTCTAAACCCCTCAGTTCCATACTGTAACTATATAACATCAAACAATATGTTATCTACGGGCGTCATAATGAAGCTAAATTAACCGGTTGTGACTCAGAATCCGTCCTGTACATGTATCACCATTGAACAGGTAAACATTAGTAAAGTACAAGTATAACAAACATCAGGTGTAGGTCTGGTACATGTTTAATGTGTGACGAGGTACAGAATTGTGTACATCAATAAATAATATACACTGTGCTTCCAGCAATACTTATGCAAAATTCTCGCTTTTTAAATTTCATTTGCCACTTGATAAACGCATCTTTATGATGTACGTGTAGTACAGACATGTATCATACACGTGTGTGTGTGTGTTTCAAACATTTAAATAACACAATGTACGTGTTATTTAGACATTTACAAATGCAGAATACACGTGTGTGTCCAACATCTTAAAATCTCCATGTACGTGTAGCACATGTATAGTACACGTGCGTGTGTGTCTCACGTGTAACTTTCCGTGGAATCCTTTCCACACCAAGACAGAGTATAAGTTTCAACCCATACTTTGTGTTACAAAAAAATAAAGGAGACAAAAGAGACAAACAATTGTTCCATGGTTGTTGAAGTGGAAGTTAGTAGTCCCTGGTAATATTTCTGTGGACCAGTTAACTTTGCTAAGAACAAGACATGTTAGGATACTCCTAGCGTCATTACATGTATGTAATTCACGTTAAACTTCTGGTAACAGATATTGTTATGTTAAAGCTGACATCAACCTCTAGTGCTGCCCTTATGTAAGGTACATAATCTCTCACTCTAGACAGCACGTATAAACCTCCAGTGTCGCCCTTATGTAAGGTACATAATCTCTCACTCTAGACAGCAGGTATAAACCTCCAGTGCTGCCCTTATGTAAGGTACATCATCTCTAACTCTAGACAGGTATATATGAACCATAGTATATTGACCATTGTTTGTGTGTATATCGTAAATAAATTAGTAATAAATATAAATATTTTATAATAATCATTAAAGTTCTGAAATATACTGCTGTCACGTAATATTCCGATTCATAAATATGTGATTAATATTGAAAACTATTATGGTAATACATTTGTATAAAATTAAATGTGACAATTATATAACGTCAACAAAGTAATCAGATTGTCCCCAAATAAAATAACACTAAAAATACGATTGTACCAAAATTAACATTGAATTACTGCTGTACTACAGTGTAAAATAATACTGTACTCAAAATAACGTTGTACCAAAATAAGGATGTGTTGAAAATAATATTGAACTCATCTTACTTTTGTAATCAAAACATATATTGTAACAAAATTAAGATTGTACCAAAATAATGATGTTCAGAGAATAGCTTATACCTTTTTGTTACATGATTTATAAGTATATTTTCATACACGTAAATAAGATAATTATAAGGTTATGTAGATATTGTACTAAGATACAGCCGATATTATTTAGTTACATTTTGTCTCCAGGTATGTTTATATATATATATAGACTAAGGTAGGTAGACATTATATAATAGACTTGGTCTCCGGACATATATAGCAAATTAAGGTATTACAATGTATATAATAAACCTGTCGTCCAGGTATAGACTACTGTACGTATATAATTATAGTTCACTTGATCTCCGGCCAGTAGAGTTGTTACACGTATACTAAGTTTACTCATATCTTAAAGGTAAATATTTGGTTTGGGGTATGATATCTATGTTTGGTTTATAGTACCTGTATATTTGTATTTTGATTTTGGTGATTTATCTTTTGTGCAGTTTGCTTTTTTCTTTTTCTTTTTTGAGCTCTGGTATATCGTTTGTAATTAATGAAATTAAATCTAATCTCATCATCACTGTACAGTTAAAAGTACAATGTATCAATCACAACAGAATAAGAAATAATTACTACAGCATGTAAGGAAACACTAAAAGACATATATAAAACAATCTGCATAGCTTATAAATCACAAATACGTATTAAAACAACCAAAGTGCATATAGATAATCTACAGATCTTATAAATAATAAGTAACGCTTATAAATAATCAGCAATTCAGCTCGCTATTGAACTAATAAACAATTACTACAGAACTAATAAACAATTACTACAGAACTAATAAACAATTACTACAGAACTAATAAACAATAACTACAGAACTTATAAACAAACACTACAGAACTTATAAAAAAACACTCGATCTTACAGAGGTAGAGAGATGAAGTATAAAAGGGAATGAACATTTAAGATTTTGTCGTTCATCAATAAGTAATATATAGACTGCCATTGTAACTGAGGTATACGGGTACGTATATTGCACTGAGAATATTTGTGAAGTCATCATCATGGCCGCTGCCGTTGAATCACTCAGAGTCATTGTTGAATCACTCAGAGTCATTATGCGCTTTATCGTCATGGTCGTTAAGGTGTATGCCGAGGCTGTGAAAAGAGTCATTGTCACTCAGCTGTCCACAATCTTCGTCATCGATGAACTTCAGATCCTCCAACAAACTCTTGTTCTGTCGCGAGACTTTCTCCACGTTTGAGAGTGTGACACGTGACGAGACAGCGCCCTCTAGGAGTTCCACAGACATGAGGACGGGGTGAAGGGAGAGTTGCTCCTGCAGCTCTCGTAGGAACGACTCGGCACACAATCCTGAAAGTACAGGATCAACCTTAGTGTGATGATGTGAGCTATGGAATCATTTATATCACAACTATCAGTTACAAAATGTACAATTATCATATACTAGGGTCGCTACTCAGAAGGAAGGACCAAAATCAATGAACGAATAGTCGGACATCTATTGACCCCTTTGGGGAGCCCCATGTTTCCCTGGCTTAGAATTAACAGCTATGGTAATTTAGTGGTTGAGGAAAGCCGGATTTCCCGGAGAAAAACCACCAACCTGCAGTCAGTACCTGGCGACTGCCCCATGTAGGTCTAGAACCCACAACCCGGTGGTGGAGGGCTAGTGGTAGCAGAATATCAGACGCCTTAACCACTTGGCCAAGTTTTGATCTCGAGCGATGTCGTTAAGAGGTTCGTTAGAACTAGAGCATTTTTTCGGAAATCCGTATTGTGAAATGGTAAATCGTCATGTCATTTTTCTTTTGAGAACGATGCCTGAAACGCAGTTAATGCGACCTTTGAAACTGATTAACAGACCTAACGGTAATATAAGTTACAAGAGGCCCAATGGGACTGCATCGCTCACCTGTTATTTATCTCACACCTGTAACCTTAAAAGTGATCTAAAATAAATCTACAGGCAAAATATCGGTATTTTTGACTATAAATCATTCAAAAGAACCTGTTTAAAGGTTTTAAATATATTTGACCAAATGTGACCTTGAAAGTGGGTCAAGGTCATCCAAATAATATAGCGTGATAGCCCTTTATCTTAGCGTACTACTGGTCAGATATCAACATTCTTGGCCTATGACCTTGAATATAAGTCAGGTCATTCATTTGAACTAACTTGGTAGCCCTTTATTCCACCATGCTACTGGTTATTCATCGGTCGTCATTTAAAGTTTTTTTAAAACATATTTGACCCCTGTGACATTGAATATACATCAAAATCATTCATTTGAACAAGCTTCGTAGCCCTTTATCCCCGCATCTTATTGGCCAAATAGTAACACACTATGCCTCTTGGTTATTCAGAAGAAGTCGTTTAAAGGTTTTAACATATTTGACCTCTGTGACCTTGAAAATGGATGAAGGTCGTTCATTTAAATAAACTTGGTAGCCCTTCATCCCAGCATGCTAGTGGCCAAATATCATCACCCTAGGCCTTTTGGTTACTGGGAAGTAGATGTTTAAAGTAAAACGTTGACGACGGACGCCGCACCATGGCATATACTCACTTGCCCTTCGGGCTGGTGAGCTTAATAATGAATGTGGTATACGTGTACGTACCCGGGGAAGCGTCGGTCTCGAGGGCTACGGCCGCCGCGATAGCTCCCATCATGATGTCGCCTAGCAACTGGCGATGCACGTGCTGACAACGAAATACAAAATTCGTTTCAAAAGGAACATATTCTACATCAAACTCGTTTTTATTTAGTAACAATCTGTCTGAAATTATATTTTATACAAAAGGTGATAGAAATTATAAAAAACAAACTTACTGTCCTATTTAATGGTGCAGTCACATGTATATAGTTTACATATCGTTACAAGCCATCTCCCTCACACGTAAATGTTTCTTTTATAGTCACATCAATCCTGTAATGTCACCACCCTATCCCAATCGCACTGCATGCTTCCTGTTTAATCATTAACATTGACTGTGTCGTCACAATCTCTCACCATCACAACTGCTTGCTGCGTGCATGCTTCCTTTATCGTCACAACCTCTAATCCATCACAAGTGCATACTTCCTTTATCGTCACAAACTCTTACCCATCACACGTGCATGCTTCCTTTATCGTCACAAACTCTCAACCATCACACGTGCAGGTTTCCTTCATTGTCACAAACGCTTACCCATCACACGTGCATACTTCCTTTATCTTCACAAACTCTCACCCATCACACGTGCATGCTTTCTGTATCGTCACAAACTCTCAACTAGCACACGTACATTTTTCCTTTATTGTAACAAACCCTCACCCATCACACGTGCATGCTTCGAGTATCGTCACAAATTCTCACCCAGCACACGTGCTTGCTGCGTACATGCTTCCAGTAGCATCACAAACTCTCACCTAGCACACGTGCTTGCTGCGTACATGCTTCCAGTATCATCACAAACTCTCACCCAGCACACGTGCTTGCTGCGTACATGCTTCCAGTAGCAACACAAATTCTCACCCAGCACACGTGCTTGCTGCGTACATGCTTCCAGTATCATCACAAACAGGTGCATGCTTTCAGTATCGTCACAAACTCTCACCTATCACATGTGCATGCTTTCAGTATCGTTACAAACTCTCACACATCACACGTGCATGCTTTCAGTATCGTCACAAACTCTCACCCATCACATGTGCATTTTCCCTGTATGTGCATGTTTCCAGTATCGACACAAACTCGCATCCATGACACGTGTATTCTTCCAGTATTGTCACAAACTTTCACCCATCACACGTGTATTTTTCCTGTATTGTCACAAACTCTCATCTATCAGACGTGCACGCTTTCAGTATCGTCACAAACACTCACCTAGCACGCGTGTATGCTTACAGTATCGCCACAAACTCTCACTCACCACACGTGCATGATTCCAGAATCGTCACAAACTCCTAGCCATCACACGTGCATGCTTCCAGAATCGTCACAAACTCTCACCCATCACACGTTCATGTTTCCAGTATCGACACAAACTCTCACCCATCACATGTGCATGCTTCTAGTATCGTCACAAATTCTTACCCATCACACGTGCATGCTTCCAGTATCATCATAATCTCTCACAAATCGCATTAACATTCTGCTTAAAAAATCTGCTCTCCCCTAGGTACACGTATCTTTATTATTGCACATTATTTTACACATCGCCCTCACCAAGACACCCATACCTGTTCCCTAGCTCGCTTTAGTAGAGTGATGACAGAGATTAGCTGGTCTTCCATCGATAACAATCGTCCACACTCTATTTCCACAGCCTCTAACTGGAACTGTGACGTCATCATGTGTTTTCGGCATGTCATCAGGTCGCACCGCAATCTTTCGATTTCCTATAGATAGAGAAACGCCGTTTGTTTTTACATTTTCGTATGGGTCTTAAACAAAAGCAGTTGTATATATTAATTAACATCATACTCACCAGGTCACTAATAAAAGGATGGCAATAATAGTTTTTTTTTAAATTAAATTCAACTAAGGGACATTACTCTTGCCTGACTGATCACTCTTTTGTCGTGTAAGTGTAGTCTCCTTTCGTCGCTGGACACGATAAAGATGCAACAACACGTGTTGTTGTTGTTGTTGTTGTTGTTGTTTTGTTTATCTTACCATATCTCCGTCTATCACACACTACTTTCCTGACAATTATTCCAAGAAATATTTCATGAAATTCATTCAGACTTTTAGTATGCATGCTTAACTGCAGTACTAGTGTATATATGAATATAAAAACTTTACTCAAGAATTACATGTATTTAAGATATAATCGAGTTATCTGAGGATCTAACGGTAAAATGAACCAACTTAAATAGCAAACACGAATGAACTACATATTTTCAAACTCTTCTTTGCATTTTTCATCATTTCGCAAAATGATAAACGTTATTTGCAGCCTAGCTCTAATGAATAATTGGTACCGACAAAATGCTACCGTGCTTTTGTCACATGCTGAGGCTAACTGATGTTTGGTGTTTTTTTCAGATTACATGATCCAGCTTTTCTATCGAAACGTAACAAAAGTTAATAATCACATTTTTGGCGAAAAGATGAATAAGGAAAAATCACTTAAACCATAGACAATAAATTTGTTGTGTGATCCCCGACCCTTTCGGGGTTTTCTACCTTGGATTGTTCGGAGTTCACTTCTGAAAGGGAGTTCACATCAGCCTGGAGTCTGCCTATGAACTGTTTATCCGCTGAAATTTGTGCGAGGTCATTACTGGGCGTGGCTGAGCGGGGTGTGTTCGAGGGTACGGGAGGACGGTCCGTCTGTTTTCCCGATATGTTTGCCACTGGTAGTCCCGGGAGGGGCGCTGTCCCGTTGATTGCGTCATCTAGCTGACGACTGATATCCGCGCAGATTGACCCCTCCCCGTCACCTAGCAACAGGAGATACAGAGTTAAAGGAAGCAATTTGTTATGTTGGTTTCCCTGTCATCTAGCAACAACGGAATTCAAGTACAACACGACACACATCCCCATTTCACTGTAAATGTCTCGCTCAACTAGTACTACTCCATACACTCACAGCCATTTCTCAGATTGTATCAAAGAGACGTAATCATCCGCGTGCTAAACAAATTCAGTCTGGATTAAAAAAATCCATTTTTTCATGTCATGTATTATTTTAGTGCTATTTAACGCACCATGTCATATATGATACAATCTAAACCTTGAATCATGCTTTTTGCTTCTTATTCGATTAGCACGAACTATTTCTTTAAGCGGAACCGTAACGTGGAAAGGTCGTATAACTTTGAGTCCCTAACTAGATGCTTGTACAAATCGACTGTGCGATAAGGGTTATCTTAGTCACAGATTAGGATGCTGTAACACCCTTAGCTCAGCTCGCGCCTTGATTATGATTATGTTACAGAGTATAGGCGCTCGACCGAGACAATCCGACCTCCCTCAGTTATAGGTATAAAATGTAACAGACTTTACTAGACATGTCCACTCAAAAATAGATACAACTCAATGAACATTTACACCCACACAGATACAAAATAGAATTGTTGGATTTCACTGAACTGTCCACCATTACGTCAAAACATTGACGGCTATGTAAATGAGTTTCCCTAGAACAACCTATATTTAAGATGTGTCAAGGAGATACAAAACACGTGTTCTTACCAGGATGTGGCTTCGTTCAACAGATAAGTATCGCTGAAAGTCAAGAAAACACATACATATGCCACACACGTGATAAAAAAAGGAAATAAATTTTGCAGATTTCAACGATACGTGATTGGAAAATGAACGAAAAAAGTATCTACAAGAACGCTGTTATTATACGAATGACTGTACCGACCACCAGGGATACCGTACAGATGAAGCGATACTAAACTTCCTAGCCCTGGGGATATAGTATAGCTATAGCGATACCAACTTTCGTATTCAGGTCCCAGTGACACAATCTAGTTGTAGACTGGTGCAGCTATACCTACCCTCGTATCCAGGTCCCAGACATACAGTCTAGATCCCGGTGTAGCTATAACTACCCCCGTCCCCAGGGCCCAGCCATATATTCTAGCTATAGGTGTAGCTATACATCCCCTCGAATCCAGGTCTCAGTCAGGTCCCAGTCATACAGTCTAGGTAAAGGTGTAGCTATACCTACCCTCGTATCCAGGTCCAAGACATACAGTCTAGATCCCGGTGTAGCTATACCTCCCCCCGTACCCAGGTCCCAGCCATATATTCTAGCTATAGGTGTAGCTATACATACCCTCGAATCCAGGGCTCAGTCAGGTCCCAGTCATACAGTCTAGCTAAAGGTGGAGCTATACCTACCCTCGTATCCAGGCCCCAGTCATACAGTCTAGATACAGGTTTAGCTATACCTACCCCCGTATCCAGGTCCCAGTCATACAGTCTAGCTATATGTGTAGCTATACCTACGTAGCTATACATACCCTCGAATCCAGGTCTCAGTCAGGTCCCAGTCATACAGTCTAGCTAAAGGTGTAGCTATACCTACCCTCGTATCCAGGCCCCAGTCATACAGTCTAGATACAGGTGTAGCTATACCTACCCTCGTATCCAGGTCCCAGTCATACAGTCTAGCTATAGGTGTAGCTATACCTATCCTCGTATCCAGGTCCCAGTCAGGTCCCAGTCATACAGTCTAGCTATAGGTATAGCTATACCTACCCTCGAATCCAGGTCCCAGTCAGGTCCCAGTCTTACAGTCTAGCTATAGGTGTAGCTATACTTACCCTCGTACCAAGACCCCAGTCATACAGTCTAGATCCAGATGTAGCTATACATACAGTCCAGCTAAATGTGTAGCTACTAGCTATGTCTACCCTCGTATCCAAACCCCAATGACACAGTCTAGCTATAGGTGTAACTATACCTACCCTCGTATCTAGGTCCCAGTCATACAGTTTAGCTATAAATGAAGCTATACCTACCTTCGTATCCAGGCCCGAGTGACACAGTCTAGCTATAGGTGTAGCTATACGTATCCTCGTATCCAGGCCCCAGCGACACAGTCTAGCTATAGGTGCAGCTATACCTAACCTCGTATCCAGGCCCCAGCGAAACAGTCTAGCTATAGGTGTAGCTATCCCTACCCTCGTATCCAGGTCCCATACATACAGTCTAGCTATAGGTGTAGCTATACTTACCCTCGTACCCAGACCCCAGTCTTACAGTCTAGATCCAGGTGTAGCTATACCTACCCTCGTATCCAGGCCCCATGGATACAGTCTAGCTATATGTGTAGCTATACCTACCCTCGTATCCAGGTCCCATACATACAGTCTAGCTATAGGTGTAGCTATACCTACCCTCGTATCCAGGTCCAAGACATACAGTCTAGATCCCGGTGTAGCTATAACTACCCTCGTACCCAGGTCCAAGTCATATATTCTAGCTATCAGTGTAGCTATACCTACCCTCATATCCAGGTCCCAGTCATACAGTCTAGCTATATTTGTAGCTATACCTACCCTCGAATCTAGGTCCCAGTCAGGTCCCAGTCATACAGTCTAGATACAGGTGTAGCTATGCCTACCCTCATATCCAGGTCCCAGACATACAGTCTAGATCCAGGTGTAGCTATACCTACCCTCGTATCCAGGTTCCAGTCATGCAGTCTAGCTATAGGTGTAGCTATACTCACCCTCGTACCAAGACCCCAGTCATACAGTCTAGATCCAGATGTAGCTATACCTACAGTCCAGCTAAATGTGTAGCTACTAGCTATGTCTACCCTCGTATCCAAACCCCAGTGACACAGTCTAGCTATAGGTGTAACTATACCTACCCTCGTATCTAGGTCCCAGTCATACAGTTTAGCTATAAATGAAGCTATACCTACCTTCGTATCCAGGCCCGAGTGACACAGTCTAGCTATAGATGTAGCTATACGTATCCTCGTATCCAGGCCCCAGCGACACAGTCTAGCTATAGGTGCAGCTATACCTTACCTCGTATCCAGGCCCCAGCGAAACAGTCTAGCTATAGGTGTAGCGATACCTACCCTCGTATCCAGGTCCCAGACATACAGTCTAACTATAGGTGTAGCTATACTTACCCTCGTACCCAGACCCCAGTCTTACAGTCTAGATCCAGGTGAAGCTATACCTACCCTCGTATCCAGGCCCCATGGATACAGTCTAGCTATATGTGTAGCTATACCTACCCTCGTAGCCAGGCCCCAGGAATATAGTCTAGCTATATGTGTAGCTATACCTACCCTCGTTTCCAGGCCCCAGGGATATAGTCTTGCTATATGTGTAGCTATACCTACCATCGTATCCAGGCCCCAACGATACAGTCTAGCTATAGGTGTAGCTATACCTACCCTCGTATCCGGGCCCCAGGGATACAGTCTAGCTAAAGGTGTAGCTATACCTACCCTCGTATCCAGGCCCCAGGGATACAGTCTAGCTAAAGGTGTAGCTACACCTACCCTCGTATCCAGGCCCCAGCGATACAGTCTAGATACAGGTGTAGCTATACCTACCCTCGTATCCAGGTTCCTGTCATACAGTCTAGATGCAGGTGTAGCTATACCTACCCTCGTTTCCAGGCCCCAGGGATACAGTCTAGCTATATGTGTAGCTATACCTACCCTCGTATCCAGGCCCTAGGGATAAAGTCTAGCTATATATGTAGCTATACCTACCCTCGTATCCAGGCTCCAGGGATATAGTCTAGCTATATGTGTAGCTATACCTACCATCGTATCCAGGCCCCAGCGATACAGTCTAGCTATAGGTGTAGCTATACCTACCATCGTATCCAGCCCCCAGCGATACAGTCTAGCTATAGGTGTAGCTATCCCTACCCTCGTATCCAGGCCCCAGTCAGGTCCCAGTCATACAGTCTAGCTATAGGTGTAGCTATACTTACCCTCGTATCCAGGCCCCAGGGATATAATCTCAGACTCGGAGAGGGTGTTAAACCCCGACGATACGCTGGACACTTCCGATTTATCTCCCTTGCCATTTCTACGTGGAATAAATGCAAATTGTCGTTATTTTGAAATGAGTTTTAATATGACATCGTTTAGCATTATAAATGTTGACAGGTTAAACATACACGATTATAACCGACATATATACTGCACAGTCGGCTAATCTGGCTTTTGCAGTTATTTCTGAACTTGCAGAACTAAGAGAAAATTATTTTATATTAAACTACATGTGCTTAATCTAAAATTTAAAAGGTTTATATTCAAACAAAACGACATCCTCATACATGTATCAAACGAAAGTAGTAGTACTATGTTAACTCTAAATAGTAGTTCCAGAAATGTACATGGTGTAATGGGAATCATTGGTCGTAACAACTACTGAAACGGCACATTATAAATTATTAATTAAGAAAACTAAAAATGAAGTAGAAAAAAACGAAAATATTTACAATATCGTTTAAGTACCATTATGAATCTATATAAATATCTGTTTTAGTATCCCCTTTCTTGGGTTCAAAATGTACTCTCTATTATAATACGTGGTGATCTACCTGTCAGAGACAGGTGACCAAAACTAACAGAATATGCATTTTCCTTGTTCCTTGCTTAATTATAATGATAAAGAGGCGGCAACAAGAAGCCGGGCTCATGGTATGTATGTAGTTTGGTACTTTATCTGCACAATTTAGTTAATATGCAAAAATAAAAAGGATAAAATGTCGACTTTTATGTTCCATTTAGGATATTCATAGTTTCTCCGTCATGTCATTTTATACCCCCATCGGGGTTAACTGCAACGTTTTTTTTTGTAAAGGTTTCATAAGTAAATCTTAGATATTACAAATATGAACATATCTTTTTTTCTAAATATTGAATATAAACAAAAGAAGAAGTTCCATGTGGGCGTGTTTCGCCGTAATTTTGTTGTATGTACAAAAATTGCGACGTGGTGCATAGTAAAAAACAATTACTTTTATAACATGACCTGTGAAATGTAGATTCTATGCAGACATTGAACATAAACGTTATCCGACATCCTGTTCGGTGGGCCGGACGGTGGACCGGACGGCGTACGGTGTAGGCAGGGTTCACTATATCACGGCTTATATCATATCAGTTCTATCTTCTTGTAATATGATGTATATGTACATGTAACTGTTCTGTTTCACTGTGTCTTGATAAAGGAGCGGATCGCTCCGAAAATTTGACAACCTTAACTTGTCCACACTGTTGGAATTACTTCTTTGCCCCACACGACTTATAATATATATAGTTAAAAGTCGTACAGATCTTTAGGAAAGATCCGAGCCTATAAATTTACAGTTAATCAATTTATCAGTGGTCAATGTAGAAAATTACTTTTGATAACTTTTTTTTCGCTGATGTTTAAGTAATTTTGCCAATAAACAACGCTTTTGATAATTAAACCGATGACAATGTAGATTACAAACGCCACAAAAAGTACAAACCGTGGTTGCGGAGATCCAGTCAGAATTGGTGTGCAAAGAAATACTTTGGAGTACCTGTATTTCATTTTATAAACTTATCAAGTAACCTGAATATATTAATGATCGGACATATTAATCGAGCATTTGTTTACAAAAGCTAAATTACAACCTCGCGGCAAAGAAAATGTAGGGTAACGTTGTCATCGACTACAATACGGTAAATTATATTGTCACGACTAACAATACGGTAAATTATATTGTCACGACTAACAATACGGTAAATTATATTGTCTAACCACAACGAATTCGATCTCATTGAGTATCCGCTTCGTCGCCCAACCGTACTGTATTTCTTGAGCAATTCGTGGTCCCCGATATATCTTACATCTAAAAGTCTTTTTTTAATGAGGAAATATTAGCACGTGGTCATATCTCGTCACTCGTTCCTTGTGTGGCCATGGAAGTACCGCTACCACGGATACCGACCCACAACCACAGGGACCTGATCATTTGTTACAGCTACATTGTATATTTGGACCTAAAGTAAGGTGTTCCAAGTAATTTTACTTATTTTAGGGATTTATATCGACTTTCGGATGAAATGACACCCCAAATGATCATATATTTATATAATCATCGGGGAGTCAATTTTACCGAAAGTCGATCTAAATCCCTAAAACATGTAAAGTTACTCGGAACACCTTACTTTAGGTCCAAATATAGCTGTGATAAATTCGCAGGTCCCTCTGCCACGATCCCCACCCCTTACCATGTATTGTGATATCAAAGGGGGTAATCCGCATTGAAGGACAGATAGACAACCACAGGCACGAGAACGTCCGCTGTGGACGAAGCTGAGGTATTCTGATGTAGCTTACCATAGAAAGCTGTTCATATGTAAACACGTTTTACCACAGAACAAGTTTCTCACATCCCGAAATATTACCCTATTGTTTTCAAGTTATTCGACAATACATATGCAGCAAGACAGTAATTTCTATATGAGCATGTGACACGTTTCTGGATTACGTAATTCAGAAAAAAATGTATTTAGTACTGTCATCGCCATAGCTATTATACCTAAGATCAATTGCTCTGTCCTCCATGACGTCATCTTAACCCGGATGATGACATACGTACCTTAGAATGATTTCATCGTCGCTGTAGTTACCAGTGAGTTTGCCGAGTTTCTCCAGGTCCTTGACCTTTGCGAGACAGCGCTTGAGGTTGCCTTTGATTCGTTCGTAAACCTGCAACATATCGGTCAGGCGTCCCTCTAGTCCAGCGTTCGACTCCTGTAGTACACATATCTCCTGATCAGACTCAAACAGGTTGTCCTGCAGCTTTGTATTTACGGCCAAGAGGTCGCGCACTTCCTTTTCGCGCACATCCTGTACATGGCGAAGTTCTTTGGCCATCATCTGTAGGGATCGACACTCGTCCCGGTCCGTATCATAATACATGTCCCAGGGACACGAAATCCGCTTGAGACTCGAACTATTGGCCAGCTCGCCACGCTCCTCATTGTATACGTCCTGAAGTGCAGCCCGTCGTGCAATGTGCATTGATTCGCGCGTGTGGTGATCACGCTCTTGTCGTTCACGGTAGAACGACGACACAACATCACTGCGCCGTGACGACAACCGACGATTGTCGTCAGAAGAAGTACTTCGTCGGACGCCGATGTACGCCGCGCGCCGCATAAAGCCATTGTCCGTGGCCTCTGCGCTCGCCTCGGTGGACTTCTCGAATGAAATTCCCTGGATGATACTTTTGATGTCGTTGGCAAGATAACGAAGGTCGTGTTGCTTCTCGTTCTTGGACACCCATGAAGCCGTCTTTCTCTGACGGGAAACTTTTATTTGTTTTTTGCCAGACGGGGGCGTGAGCGCCAGAGTCCGTGGCCGAGGTGGTTTTCTATCCATATTGTAACTGTGTAAATCGTCCGAGTAATTAATTCAGAGATAATCACAAACAGGTGCCCGTCCTTATCAATGCAGGATGTAGTTCATTCCTTAGGAGTACACACTATATCATATCGAAATCGAAATAAAGATATCCACACACGCACATATTCCCGCCAATAGAACGACGCACAACTGTCCTCTATAAGTTACTGGACATTTGTAAACAGGTGGAAATGGACGCCGCCATCACACATAGGTCCGGGGAGCTCGACCACTGCCTCCCAAACACTGGAGCTCGACTGTAAACAGCGACGGTTACATTTCCGTTCACACTTTTTGGAGATAAGGCCGGAGTGAGCGGAGGATGGTTTTACACAAGTATCCCAGTCTCAGTAGCCCAGCCTCAGTAGCCGTGTTTACATGTTAGTCGGCCTCCCTTCACTGTTTACTCAAGTTATCACTGATTCAAGGGGTCGGGGTAATATTCTACTCCCTGGGAATCCGACTCAAAGCGCTCGTATTTATACTTAGGTTTAATCAAAGACAAAATATCAAGTCTTAAAACTGTATAGACCCGAGTGTGTATCCCCCGGGGATTGGGAGATAAGGGAGGGGGTATACTGCGGCGAAGTAGCTACACGTACAGTATGAGTCATTGACAATGCATATAGGTGTTGCGCATGTATATATAGTACCCGCTCTCACGGCCCAAAATGATACTGCTATATTTATCATAAGCGTTTTTAATATTCCGTGAATTACTGTCGGATCTACGTTGATTAGTTGGCATTAAAATAAAGCTATTTCGTTTTATTCTAGAGATGTATATTTCCTGATAATTTACCGAGTAGGATAGTCAGGCAATTTGTTATTACAACACTTCACTGTATTGAATATCAAAATTGAACTAAATAGTTAAAACGAGAAACGGCTGAATGGGGAGACTTGAATGTACATGTAACATTCCCGGGCCGTACACGTACAAATATACATAAACACGTGCTTATATTTTAACTAGTGGCATTCCCTATACAGACGGACACGCGCACCTGCACATCGTTAATTAGACAGTCCATACTTCCGGTGATAATGTGGTGATAATGACATGAAGGTTATATACCTCTTTAATTTGTAATCGTACTGTTGAAATAAAAAAAATGACAACAATATCCAAATGGTTAAGTGTGATCAGAAGAAAGAAATACAGTCGATGGATGTTTTATTCTTGATTGCATTAATTAATACGGATAATTAATTAAATCCGGAATTTAACATTCATTCATTTAGCTTAGCAGTTTTATGGAAATTGCTAAGGATGGAATTACATAAAATCTAATTATTCCCTAAAATTATATCCTATGATGAAGTTCAAAGAATCTAGTGTAATGTTGACCACGGTGTTTGTGTAGAGTACTGGTTACTCGGCGGATACAGATGTAGTCCCGATAGTGAGAGACTCCACCCACTGGGAACCAGTGTACGGCTGCCAATTTCGACATCTCAGAAAGGCAGTCATCTTTTTTGAATATTTGAAATGATCACAGTGTGATAAACCTTGCTTCGAATGCACGCTAGATTTGAGCTATAAATAGTGTCGATTATCTGTAAGAACGTCCGTGGTCTGGTGTATATTATATGTCAAATATTACTGGGCTATCATATTTAATACTGCATTAGATACATACAATCTGTGATGTCAGTGGTGACTGACAACACGTGCACATCTCCTGTATACTCAGATTCATATCGACAGTAATGCACGTACAAATATAAATATAGGTTTCTGTAAAAAAAAACACCACAAATGTGAAGTAGAGGTTTTTCTAATGTCAGCCAACTATCATCCCGAGTTTTATAATGACGTGCTGTGTCTAACCTCGATAGATACCAACTCTCACAAACATGACGTGGTACTGTGACGTTTGCTGGCAGGAGATTTTGTAATTAACATTTTGCATAAAAACACATCAATCATCCCATGAAATGAATGAAACGTAAACTTGATTTTTTTCAAATATATTGTTCAGTGTACGTTAAATACAAATTATCCTACAGTTAACTAGTGTATCCTGTGTACTGTATAAGGTGTATCTCTCAGAACAGTGTTTCTATTACCATTTAGTTGTATACACACACTATATTATTATACAGAAAAACAAGAGGCACATAGGACCTTATCGCTCACCTGTTTCTTTGTTACATAAAATTGACATATAGGTAACTTCATAACAAATTTGGTAACTAGAACACACAACATTTTAGCATCTCTTAAACGGTATTGATGTTTGAAATTTGAAAATTGTATTTTGAAAGTTTTTAACCGACGTTGACCTTTGACTGCGGCTAGCACTTACAGTTGACCCTTTACTTCATTACTGTAATAAAGAAAACGATTCACATAGCTGGTCAACATAACATACACTAGTATGATGACTCTAGACCAAATGGTTCCTAAGATATTGTTGTTTGATGTGTTTAACACATTTGACCACTGTGACCGATTCTGACCGTAAAGTGTTATACAGCACAACGGTTTCTCAAGTACAATGGAACATATAGTAAGTGTATCCTACACAATACTGTGTATCTTATCATCAACGATAACTTATATACCTGGCCTACTATACAATGTATCATATAGTAAGTGTATCCTACACAATACTGTGTATCTTATCATCAACGATAACTTATATACCTGGCCTACTATACAATGTATCCAACATACGTTCATGTACCTGTAGGAAACAATGCAATGCACTCTACAATACTTATACTACCATGTCACTTGATATTGTATACTTATTTAGTCATCAGAAATTCTGTACAATTTCAATCACAAATTTATCAGAGTTGAGATTGAACTAGAAATAAGGAAGTCGAAGTTATACCAACTGATGTACATGTGGGGAATTCCTTATCTCCGTATATAATTATACCACGCCTGAATTATATCCTCAGCTGGATTTTCCTATTTGAATTATGAGAACCTCCTATACGGACCAGTGCAGTGGAGTGGTAGAAATTGAGGGTATGATAAATATCTTCGTTTACGTCGTTCTGTACGCGGGCGCCATCTTTACTGATGAAATCATTTACAAATCAGACTAAGTGAAGATCGGTATAGTGACAAGCCAAATAGAGATACAATATAATAAAAAATTTAGGGTGATTTGAAAGAATTCTGTACCAAGTTGTTAGATAAGGTTAAGTATTCGTGTATATAGAGCGAGGTGTGCGGACAATATTTTGAGCAAAGAAGCAAAAGAGTACTTCCGGTTATAAAATACTCGCAGAACTGAAATGCCATCACGTTTATAAGTAACCGAGTTGTACCGAGGTACCCTTTTGCATTACAGTACGCTTACTTTATAGTCCAACAAGGAGGTTATTGTCCGTGACGGACAATTGCTGGTTAGTCTTTACGCATCACGTGACACCTACATCTGTAAAGTGTATAAAGCCGCTCAATTTAAATCTTACCGTCAGATTAGCTCAGTCAAAAAAAGGCCGACCACTAAGCCTTCAAATGTAACTAAGAATCTTACATGATGGCCTGTGATAATATGGTTGTAATTGATATGTGTGTCATTAGAAACATATGTAACTATTCAATTATTGCCAAAACATAACTTATAAAGAAGACATGCCATTATTATCAAACTGAGACGTAAAATATAAACGTCTCTCCTACAAGAATGGTTATCTCCCCTGTACTGAAATAAATACGTCTCTACTACAAGAATGATTATTTCCCCTGTACTGAAATATATACGTCTCTACTACAAGAATGAGTATCTCCCCTGTACTGAAATGTAAACGTCTCTACTACAAGAATGATTATCTCCCCTGTACTGAAATATAAACGTCTCTACTACAAGAATAATTATTTCCCCTGTACTGAAATATATACGTCTCTCTTACAAGAATGACTATCTCCCCTGTACTGAAATTTAACGTCTCTCCTACAAGAATGATTATCTCCCCTGTACCGAAATATATACGTCTCTACTACAAGAATGAGTATCTCCCCTGTACTGAAATATATACGTCTCTCTTACAAGAATGAGTATATCCCCTGTACTGAAATATAACGTCTCTACTACAAGAATGATTATCTCCCCTGTACTGAAACAATTACGCTGTAAAACGATCTCGCGAGCTGATCATCCAATACAATTGAGAGACATAGAGGCAGTGACAAGGAAGAAGACCAGAAGTTGATGTACTTTTGATTACTGACATCTTAATAAAAGTATGAAGTTCGTTGATGTTATATTTCTATGCCACAAAATGGACCTCCATATTGACGATTGTGTAGCTATGTATTTTGGAAGTGACAAGCTGCCCAAACATGACTGATGCTGATCGGTAATCCTGCTTAAAATCTTTCGTATTTTAGCAGAACCACAGTTCTTCATTTGGGGTCTAATGGCACACCGAGGGGGATATGGCACACCGAGGGAGATATGGCACACCGAGGGAGATATGGCACACCGAGGGAGATAAACCTCAGCAATTATGGATGTGACCACATTGACACATTCTGTTCAAATTTAAATCAATGAAATAATGAGATATGAAATATTTGTATTGTTTTTGTCTGAACAACCAATTTTACGCATCGTAGAAAATATTGAAAATGAAGAACCATTTATATGTGTGATTTGCGTTCTAAATATCGTGGATACATTTTCTTCTCACCAAGGGTGCTAACGTTTCATGAACAGAGTGTAAACAGTTCGTCAAAAAAGTGTAATTTCAATTTAATTCGTGCTTTGTCACAAATCATGTATTTATCATTTGAAGCATTTACAATTCCTATTACTTTTGATCAGTACTCCGTGTTACTGCCGATATGTCAGGTACAATATGTAAGTGACGTGTTTGTTGTTCAGTACCCTGTAGAACTGCCGTTCCGTGTTACAGTATCACATCAGTGCATGACAATACATAATCCATTTCTATATGATTTTTAAAGAAACTCACGATAAAAATCTCAAAGTTATTTATTCACAAAATACATGTAATTGGAATATTTCTCTTCCCAAAACACAACATTGATTTACATATTTAAAATACAGACAATCGATACCTTGGTGGCATGCGCACTGAGTCACATGGACTATTTATAATTCGTACGCGTATTGCACTTTACTACTGCACAATACTCCTAATACCCCAAAACCCAGACAGAAGTACTGAGGAAGTAACCTGGCACTGGTAAACAAGCATGACACTTCAGGTCACGTGAATGTTTAACACACGTGAGCGTGTAATACCTGGGCCCGCATTCATAGAACCATTGTCATGCTCAGACTCAGATTCTATGTCCAAGCCAAACTCGAGCTCTTTGTTCCGATGATATATTATTAAAATTTCTCATCTTAGTTTTATAGTTATTTACATGAATTTTGTAGAAAAATGCGGGCGAATATCTGTTCAATGTCTGGATAAAAGTTTCAAGCACACTGGTAACTGCACTTTAAAATTTTGGTAATAGATACAGTGTGCGAAAAATGAATCACACAGCATCATACAGCTGTTTAGTCCTTCTATGACTAATTTTACGTTTTGATAGTCTAATGATTCTAGCAAATTACAAATAAAAGCTGGTTTTGAAAGAATTTGAGCATGAGAATGGTTTCACGCACACGGACCATGGTGTTCGTTGAAGACACTTGTGAGGCCTGACGTTTGCTGACGATACCAGGCACACACTGTGAATGCTGTAGTGAATTAAGAAGGCACTTGTGGGGCTGACGTTTGCTGACGATACCAGGCACACACTGTGAATGCTGTAGTGAATATAGAAGGCACGTGTCCTGTTACGTAAATGCCGCAGACACGTGTCATTCTTGGTGAATACTGACATTTGCACAGTGAATGCTGAAGACACTTAACACGGATGAATGTTAAACACACTTGGTATGTCTAATAAATGCTTAAGACACTTTGTTTGACTGATGAATGTTAAAGACGTGTTATACTTGGCGAATGTTTAGACACTGGGCATGCCGAATGATTCCCAAGACACTGGGCATGCCGAATGATTCCCAAGACACTGGGCATGCCGAATGATTCCCAAGACACTGGGCATGTCGAATGATTCCCAAGACACTTGGTATGCAAAATTAATGCTAAGCCACTTGGCCTGTCTGATGAAAGTCGAACATATTTTGTATACATGATAAATATCGAAGGCACTCGACATGTCTGATGAATGTTGGAGACACATTGAATTCCTGATGAATGTTGGAGACACATTGAATTCCTGATGAATGTTGAAGGCCTTTGGTACAGTATGGCTGGTCAATAATGAAGGCACTTGGCATGTCTTATGAAAGTTGACAAATCTACCCAAGTCTTAAAGGAAGTCACACCCGGGTAGTTATAATGACGACCATTTGCACCACAACTGGTTGACAGAATCCACATTTATTAACTAGGGAAACAACTCTGATGTATATAAATCAGAGATTTGTTAATTGGTCGACATTGCCCACACTGAATACTAAGGGAAAACATTCTGATTTGTGAGCATGGCATCGATAAAGTGCACAAAGAGAGGACGGACACACGGACAAACAACTAGATACAGACAGTAGGTGTGTAGACATAAATTATCTTAAAAACATAGTTTTGATAAATTCATTAATTACTTACTATTTGGCAAAATGTACAATTTTCACAAAAGTACATGTAGCTCATTATTCACTGCACAATTACAATATGTTCACTCATCACGCTTTCATCAGTCGTCCTATATACAATCATAGTATACACAATACAAACTGACATCTCACTAATACTGGCCTGGTTAAGGCAAGCGTATACAACAATGTGTGTGAATGTCATTTATATAAAACTGGGAAAATAATGTGGACGTGGCAATAATCAGATTCTGAACGTTGCAACGTGCAACCATAACCTGAAGTCATAACTATAGCATGGTAACTAATTAATCCTAACGTCATACCTATTACAATGTTACACATAAGTCCTACCATCATATCTATAACATCGGACACGTTAGTTCTAACGTCATATCTATAACACCGTGACACGTTAGTTCTAACGTCATATCTATAACATCGGACACGTTAGTTCTAACGTCAAATCTATAACACCGTGACACGTCAGTTCTAACGTCATATCTATAACACCGTGACACGTCAGTTCTAACGTCATATCTATAACACCGTGACACGTCAGTTCTAACGTCATACTATAGCACTGTGACACATAAATCCTACTGTCATGCCTATTACAATGTGACGTCAGTCCTAACGTCATATCTATAACATTGTGACACGTCAGTCCTAACGTCATACTATAGCACTGTGACACATCAATCCTACTGTCATGCCTATTACAATGTGACGTCAGTTATAACGTCATACCTATAACAATATGACACGTAAGTTCTAACGTCATATCTATAACATTGTGACACGTCAGTCCTAACGTCAAACCTATTACAGTGTGACACTACCTCAACGTCAAACCCATCACAAAGTGACACATCAATCCTTATTTCAAACGTTCAAGTACATTGTGACAAAAAGTCCTATTCATATAAAAATTTGTTTGGAAACTGAAAAAAATGCTTGGAAATTGTAAATAAATAATTATTATAAAAATATCATTAAAATCAGGAATTATTCAATAAATACTATTTGATAAATATGGTTTGACTGTAATTGATGAAATACTTATTTCTAGTAAGTTTTCACAAAGTCAAAGACATAGTCTAGATGTAGGTTGGTAGACCGTGTGATAAGGACGACATCACACATTTAAAGAAATGACTTCTAATATATAAATAAAGTTATGTATATTTTAACACACATCCATTAGAATAAATACTATTACATACAACACCTCGACTCGACACACAATACACTGACATGTATGTCCTTTTTCACAATATGTACAACTTATTTCTTTGACCTAAAACAGTACACAATAAATATGTATCCATGCATTTTAACATGTACATATAATATGCAAGACGTCGACATTTCCAGTTGGCACGGAGAGGCCTGCAGAGGTATACGACAAAGCTTAATCTGGTCCTTTTCTACCAACAAAGTTCTCCACCGTCATAACATCATATACATGTACCAACAAATAACTTTCAAATGAATATAAACATGTACTTTACACCCATCACACATTCCGCCTCTCGTGGTGCCGCATCACTTACTCCGTCACACTGTTAGTGTTCATCAGAGAGTTCACAAAGGGAGATAACTCGCCTTAGTTATATGAAATACTGTTTTGATTGATATTGTGGGAGGTTCGGTCTCGGGGGCAGAGGGGGAGGGAGAGGCGATGGGCCTGCCATGTGGGGATATTCCACATCCGCATCATATGAGTGCATATCCGGTCGTAGTGGGCGTGGCATATCCTCGTGGAACACTACTTCCTTTGTTGGGGATAGGCGATGAGGGTGGGGCGGAACATACGTATAACCCTTCATTTCCGTGGGCTTCGAATTCAGTTCAGGTAGCTTTGTGTATCTGAAACCAGACAGATGTCAATATTAAACATTGAAAATAACAAAAATGGAAAACTGGTACCATATGGTAGGTTAACCTAACATATAATATAAATGATATCGCACTAAAATGAAATGTTATGTATGAACATTGATTAGATATGTGTATCACAAATCGTAAACAAGCTTACTAATCTCAGGGAGCAATGCTTACGGTCACCATTTTATTAAGGTGTTACCTGGTTGTATACATTGTAATTCAATCGTAACTGTGCACCACTTTACTATCTCTAATTCCCTCACCTTGTGTCCAACCACTGGTCGTGTGAGGGCGTGTAGCCCTGGCTGTGTAGCTCCGACGACGGCAGGGTCATTGGGTGCATTGTGTACCAGGGCTGGTTCTGACCGTCCCGGGGTTGATGGTCACTATGGTAACGGTCCATCGGAATCCGCGTATTGGCAATCACTCCTGGTTAGAAAAAGTGACAAAATATTTGAGTTGTACCCCTTATATAGTTATGTGTACTTAATATCTTGCTTAAATAAAACGTTAAGGTGACCGCCATGAAATATCCGCCATTTGTATTTATATACATTTTAGGCTACTGCTTGGAAATGATAATGGACTTATTTAAATTAGTGATTCCTATTCAACCCTTAGATAGTAATACATGTTTATATAAGCAACTTGACCAAAAATGTTATAATCGCTCGACTCCTATTTAATAATATTGGCAATTGTTTAATGCTTAAATGCCAGTTTCATAAAAATTTCGAATTGACATCGATCCAGATAATTTATTTTGACAAGCTTGATAGCCCTTTATTCAAGCAAAAAAACAACTGTCAACTTGCCTAGTGTTGCTAAAAAGAGGTCGTTTCATTCACTCCAATCAAAGTGACAGGAACATTTTTCACATTGTGGTTCATATGAAGTACATTTTGTAATTGCCTATACATTTTCACTTTTGAAGTAGGGGCAGTGGTAATTTCATTTGAATACAAACTATAGCCTTCCACAAGCAAGGTAACGGCCGAATGGTCCCACTCTAGGCATTGGGGGTTCGAAAAAAAGTTGACCAATTTTTTAACACGTATGACTCTTGTGCCATTGAATTTAGGTTAAAATTATGCAATTGAACTTAATTGAACTTATTTGATAGGCCTCATTAGTATATACATTATAAGGCCATATAGCATTACCCAAGGCCAAACATATATTTCAGAAGAAGTCGCTTAAGATTTTAACCTATCAAATATGTAAATGATGAGATTTAAGTAACTAACTGTTAAAAATTAGTGATTAACACTTGTAAAACTAGAAAATGTTGGTAAGACATAAATGCCCCCGCTCATGGATGGGACAAGACGGTACGGGACGCGACGTATTTTATGACGGGGGCATAATTAGTAAACTGCTCTTCCGTATTGCTTAAATTAGTGTTATGCCTCTGTCCGTTTCCATGGCTCTACCCGAGAAGGTTAGCTCCCTTTAAACCTCCTGAAGGTACATGTGTCGTAACGTCAGCCAAATGGGGGTGCCGAGGGGTGGGAATCAGTTACTTGCTGTTCTGATATGACCAGGAAGGGCGTGGCCCTTACAGACGGTACCGGGGATGGGGGTATGCTACATGATGGCTTTCTCTTATATGTCTGGGAGTCCCTATTGAAGGTTCATTGTGTACATGGAAAGAAGGTTACATGTACCTGGTGACTTGTTATTATTTGACCGGGTAGATATTGACCCTTACAGAAGGTATTGGGGGATAGGAGTTCGTTACACATGTACATGGGGACTTGCTATTATTTGACCGGGTAGATATTGACCCTTACAGAAGGTATTGGGGGATAGGGGTTCGTTACACATGTACCTGGGGACTTGTTATTATTTGACCTCGTAGATCTTGACCCTTACAGAAGGTATTGGGAGATAGGAGTTCGTTACACATGTACCTGGGGACTTGCTACGATTTGACCGGGTGGATCTTGACCCTTACAGAAGGTATTGGGGGATAGGAGTTCGTTACACATGTACATGGGGACTTGCTATTATGTGACCGGGTAGATATTGACCCTTACAGAAGGTATTGGGGGATAGGAGTTCGTTAAACATGTACCTGGGGACTTGTTATTATTTGACCTCGTAGATCTTGACCCTTACAGAAGGTATTGGGGTATAGGAGTTCGTTACACATGTACCTGGGGACTTGTTATTATTTGACCTGGTAGATCTTGACCCTTACAGAAGGTATTGGGGGATAAGAGTTCGTTACACATGTACCTGGGGACTTGCTACGATTTGACTGGTTATAGCTCGACCCTCAGAGAAGGTGTCCAGGGATGGGGATGTGCTAAATTGGGGTCTTGTCCTAATATGTCCGGGAGTCCCTATTGAAGATACATTTTGTTCACGTGGCGGAGATATATTACCTGGGGGTTTGTTATGATTTGACCGAGTGGAGCTTGACCCCCGACTGGAGGTACCCGGGGGTGGGGTTGTTGACGACGTGCTTGGTCGTGTGTTCCTCCGTTTCCAGCAGGAGTAAGTGAGGTAGCACAGAACAAACATGATTGACACAGTGGAGATGAGGGAGCCGGCGATGATGACAGTGTCCCTCCTCCGCTTCTCCTCCTCCCGGACTTTCTCCTCATACGTCTTGCCCGGCGGGGAGGGCGTCGGTTTCCTATTTCCTGTAGATAAACGCAGAATATTTGAAAAAATTGGCGTGATTTGCACGTACAAAAATGCATACAATGCACGTAATTCCTCGTAAAGCATCATAATGTTACTACGTCCTGCCACGTGGGGTTATTACATGTAGTAAAGGGTGAGAGTGGCAATGGTCAACCAACAACTGTCGCTTCCTCCGAGGCAGCCGATAGTAAGATATGTGACTCTTGGTAGTGTCATACTCTAATGTATTATTACAATGTTTATCATCTATATTCTACTTTATACCACCTTCCGGTAGCATTATAAATTCATTATCATTTGTTGTTAGTATGAGAAGAAGTTAAGAACGACTTGAGAACGACTTGAGAAGAACTTGAGAACGGATTTCCCATTCCCCAGCACTTTGGAACGTTTTTCTCAAAAAAGAACGTCTGCTCGCGCCAGATGACGGCCGAAACCGGAAACAGTGTCCATACAAAAGTGATCCGCGTAAACAATTGGTCCGTCATAAGCATATTAATACAAGTTACGGAAAAATATTGAGAGAATAACAATACCATTTCAGGTGTAAATGTGCATATGGAAAAACCAATGACGATAGGATTTTTTTATAATATCTTTTCTACGCAGTTTTAAGGTTCATTGAATTCCACCCTGCACATCTTCTATTTATTTACGTGTGTCACAGGCGATCGTTGACCATTGAGCTTAGAGGTCATTGTGAAAACATGGTGTTTAGTTGAGTTTTTTAAATGGAGAAATATATAAGCAAGTAGTATATAGATGATAAATAGTTTATCATACGATATTTTCAGTGTTTGTCGTTCGAACAATTTCACGACAAACCCTGAATATACAGTGTGATAATCTATAAATATCGAACGGCGATGCGCGGTTGAATTCACAGAAAGTAGCCGAGCTTAAGCTTCCAGTTCGTTTAAAGTATGACTGCCAATACAGAGATACACGACTACTCCTACTGCTTGCATGATGACACCATAACAACGATACGTCTAGATTCATTTAAGATAACACTAAATGATTCCCGTAGAGATGGTTTGGAAGTCCCCACTGTACAATTGTCGATTTCACCGCACAACTCCTTGACAAAGAGAATGGAGTTCTCTGAGGAAAAAGTCAGGCGCCCTAATGGGGCGTACTGCCACGTGAAGAGCTAGTTGGGACAACATATGAAAAAAGACAATGGCTTTGGGCGTCACACATGCAATAATCAGGAGCAATACAATAGACGACAAATAGCAAATATATGGTTATCATGACAACTAGAACCATGCAGGGTGCGGGCCCTTTTGTTGGTCTGTATACGTCATGTACAAACTTCACCAAACCGGCAGAGATGGGAGATCACAGATAATCACAACTACACACTATACTAGAAAGAGGGAGGCCAAAAAGAGGCCCAACCCCCCCAGAGAACTAAACCGATTTCCTCTTCTATGTCTTTGTTGTGACATATGTCGATCCAAATGTAATTTGATCTGTGGTCTATAAGGTAAACGATCGATTGTTGAGCTGACTGTCCGACTGAGAAGCAGTGTACCTACTTAGAAAGGTTATGTACTGTACAAAGAGTGGCGGGTCAGTGCGGACAGGTTATGTACTTTACAAAGAGTGGCGGGTCAGTGCGGACAGGTTATGTTCTGTACAAAGAGTGGCGGGTCAGTGCGGACAGGTTATGTTCTGTACAAAGAGAGGCGGGTCAGTGCGGACAGGTTATGTACTGTACAAAGAATGGCGGGTCAGTGCGGACATGTTATGTACTGTACAAAGAGTGGCGGGTCAGTGCGGACAGGTTATGTACTTTACAAAGAGTGGCGGGTCAGTGCGGACAGGTTATGTTCTGTACAAAGAGTGGCGGGTCAGTGCGGACAGGTTATGTTCTGTACAAAGAGAGGCGGGTCAGTGCGGACAGGTTATGTACTGTACAAAGAATGGCGGGTCAGTGCGGACATGTTATGTACTGTACAAAGAGTGGCGGGTCAGTGCGGACTAAAGACGGTCGTGATGGGTTATTATCTCCAGTGGATGTCGTGGATATCTTTATCGGTCACGTGAGGGAAGCTTTTATAAATGGGAAGGGACCGGTATGGTGAGAGTCAAAGTACAGGGCCATCCGCAGACGGGCGGGTATCTTGTCAAAAACGGTTTACGTGCACGTGGTTCTTTATCAAATCAGTAGAACAACCCTCTCCGCTGAAGTCGTTTTGTACCTAATGGATTGAATTGAATTTAACTGATAATTTTGTCTTGGCAACAAGTGTATCTCCATGAATACAGCCGTCATTCACGACACGTCCAACCTCACCTGCCGTGCTGTTTTTGGAGCAGTAGGGTTTAACTTGTAGATCGATGGTGTACTTGTCTCCCTTGTATTTCTTCAGTTCCTTGAAGACGAGTTTGAGGTCGTTGTTACTGGAACACCACAACAATGGCGGGAATGTGTGGCAGTCAAACATCTACAATCAAACAAAATGTACACATTGTATACATGTATTCCACATCCAACTATCTGTCGCTAACACTAGTCGTTAACCAATAGGTTATCATGTTGTTATTTCTGTGCCACAGAACTTTAGACTGTACTACTCGCCATGGATCACACATCTGGCATACCGTTGTCGTACTTGTGTTCGTGTACCCAACCAAACAGCTCATCCTTACGTTGAACTTGACATTGTCCAACCAAACAGTTCATACTAACTTTGGGTTTAATTTCAGCAAACCAAACAGTTCATATTAACCTTGGGTTTGATGTCAGAAAACCAAACAGCTTATACTAACCTTAGGTTTGACGTCAGCAAACCAAACAGCTCACACTAACCTTGGGTTTGACGTCAGCAAAACCAAACAGCTCACACTAACCTTGGGTTTGACCACAGCCAACCAAACTGCTCATATTAACCTTAAGTTTGACGGTATCCAACTAAACAGCCCATACTAACCTTGTGTTTGACGTCAGCAAACCAAACAGTTCATATTGACCTTGGGTTTGACGTCAGCAAACCAAACAGCTCACACTAGCTTTAGGTTTGACGTCAGCAAACCAAACAACTCATACTAGCTTTAGGTTTGACGTCAGCAAACCAAACAACTCATACTAGCCGTGGGTTTGACGGCAGCCACCCAAACTGCTCATACTAACCTTAAGTTTGACGGTAGCCAGCCAAACAGTTCATATTAACCTTGGGTTTGATTTCAGCCAACGAAACAGCCCATACTAACCTTGTGTTCGACCTCAGCAAACCAAACAGCTCATACTAACCTTAGGTTTGACGTCAGCAAACCAAACAGTTCATATTAATCTCGGGTTTGACGTCAGCAAACCTAACAATTCATATTATTACCCAATAGTCTATATAACTTATAATTAGTCATTTTTGACTGTTTCTGGCCTTTTGTCCAATTTCGGCTCTAGGGGTGAAAGTCAAAACTGTTTTCCCGGTCAGAGCGAACTGTTACCCGGCGCGAATTCGATGCGCAGAAATCCCCCCTCGAGAGCCCCGTTCAAGCGTTTCGGTGACCGCGACTCATTGTTGAAGCAATGGCAAAACATTGATACTAATATTTATTCAGTAATAAAACAATTGTTTCATGGTTATTTTGGGAACAGTCAAAACTATCATCCCTCGGTAGGGGGAATCCCTGGGGAACTGTTTGCCCTTGGCCTAGCGGTCTCGGGCAAACAGTTCCCCAGGGATTCCCCCTACCTCGGGATGATAGTTTTGACTGTTCCCCAAATAGCCATGAAACAATTGTATACTAACCTTGGGTTTGACGTCAGCAAACCAAACAGCTCATACTAACCTTGGGTTTGACGTCAGCCAACCAAACAGCTCACACTAACCTTGGGTTTGACGTCAGCCAACCAAACAGCTCACACTTACCTTGGGTTTGACGTCAGCAAATCAAACAGCTCACACTTACCTTGGGTTTGACGTCGGCCAGACCGTCGTGGTAGATCATTTTGAAGTGACAACTGCGAATGGTGAATGTATTTATCTTCACACAAAGACTGCAACGTTGTTCCCACATGCTTTCGCTCCAAGTTGACTTGGTGAATGTCACGTCGCACTTACTTCCGGTCACGGCCGTGTTAGAGGTTACATTGTAGACGCTGTCGAACTCGTAGTAATGCGGCTGGTTACAGGACTGGGACGAGTTGGTGTTCACTACAACACACAATACACAAATGTCATGTATATATGTGGCATTCAGTGTTATATCGGTTTTAGGCTGTATGTCATATATATTTTGTGTTTTTATTTGGTTTTTTTATTCCGACACACGTTCTGTGATCTCGTATATCGTGCGTGTCTAACGTTAGTCTTGAATCATGCTAGATGTATTTGTTAAGTGCCCTGGTCGTATTCGAGACCCGGGTAATGTATAGATTTATAATCTGATATACTGACTTGTTTACCTGACAAATGAATGTATCTTAAACTTACTTCAGTCCAAGTATCCGTGTTTTTATTCAACTGTGCCACGAACTAGAAATTGTCTATCTGTATGGCACCTAATCCCAACAAAAAATTATACAATGGCGCCCGCTTAGGAAGCTCACAGAATCCGAGCCTTGCTCTAATAAATATCGCTGTTATCCACAGAGATCTTTCATAGAGAGAAAAATATAACTAGCTTCCTACCGCCTTATTAGTTTTTAATGTATCATAACATCGGGACGAGTCAGTGTTCAAAGAATCATAACATTGGGACGAGTCAGTGTTTACGCTATGATAGCATTGGGACGAGTTAGTGTTTAGTGTATCATAATGTTGGGACAAGTCATTGTTTACGGTATGATAGCATTGGGACGAGTTAGTGTTTAGTGTATCATAATGTTGGGACAAGTCGGTGTTTAAGGTATAATAACATTCGGACGAGTTAGTGTTTAAAGTAGCATAACATTGAGACTAGTCAGTGTTAACCGTATGATAGCATTGGGACGAGTCAGTGTTTAGTGAATCATAATGTTGGGACGAGTAAATAAAATTGGGACGAGTAAGTGTGTACAGTATCATAACATTGGGACGAGTAAGTGTGTACAATATCATAACATTGAGACTAGTCAGTGTTAACCGTATGATAGCATTGGGACGAGTCAGTGTTTAGTGAATTATAATGTTGGGACGAGTAAATAAAATTGGGACGAGTAAGTGTGTACAGTACCATAACATTGGGACGAGTAAGTGTGTACAGTATCTTAACATTGGGACGAGGAAGTGTGTACAGTATCATAACATTGGGACGAGAAAGTGTGTACAGTATCTTAACATTGGGACGAGGAAGTGTGTACAGTATCATAACATTGGGACGAGTAAGTGTGTACAATATCATAACATTGAGACTAGTCAGTGTTAACAGTATGATAGCATTGGGACGAGTCAGTGTTTAGTGAATTATAATGTTGGGACGAGTAAATAAAATTGGGCCGAGTAAGTGTGTACAGTATCATAACATTGGGACGAGTAAGTGAGTACAGTATCATAACATTGGGACGAGAAAGTGTGTACAGTATCATAACATTGGGACGAGTAAGGGTGTACAGTATCATAACATTGGGACGAGTAAGGGTCTACAGGATCATAACATTGGGACGAGTAAGTGTGTACAGTATCATAACATTGGGACGAGTCAGTGTTTAGTGTACATGATGTAAGAGGAGTTAGTGTACAGAGTGGGACTAAACAGCGTTCACATGGAACGATGAAACATGGCGACGGGACAAACTGGTTTTGAATGTAATTCGACCTTCAGGATGAGTTGATTGGCATTGTAAAACATTAGAACAAGAATCCAGGGCAGCATACATAATGTAAACAGTTGGTATCGATGTGGACTCGGTTGTCCTTGTGCTACGGTAGGGGCTCTGACATGGATGGATCTCGCTGTAACCCGAAGTGTGTCGGCAAACAACACTTATTTCAATTTTTTTATATATCTTTATATCCTGTTCACAGTATGGCAACTCTAGTTATCTCCCTTACCTGTGTCATTGTCGATCCTACACGTTTTATAGACATAATTATCAATATAAAGCAATGCCAGCATTCCGCGGAACGTACAGAATATTTGTACATGTCTATATTAATTACATACAGCTAGGAAAACAGCATGCTTCGGATGAGCCAGCAAGCACTCTTACTAAGGTTCGCTTCATCGTACTGTACATGTAGATTTTCTAAAGAGAAAATCGTTTCTAATTAACGGAACAAATAACAGATGTGAAGAATGCGACTGGTGTAAATCTGAGTGGTTAGTACGACTCTGAACCTCAGTGTGTAACGTTCTCCACTGTCTTTCGCCGTAACTGAAGGATATGACTTGTGTGCACTTGTAATTATCAGTGGTTATAACGACTTTGAACCAAAGCGTCAGCTTTTCAACACTGTGTAAGTGGGTGCAAGAAACGACAACTCTGGGTAGAGATTGTTAGTGTAAAGAACGACAACTCTGGGTAGAGAATCATGAGTGTAAGGAACGACAACTCTGGGTAGAGAGTGTAAGAGTAAGGAACGACAACTCTGGGTAGAGATTGGTACTGCTATATCTGTGATTGTCTCCTTCACTATAATTAAGATTTCTACTTTCAAATCCAAGTGTTCTCCGGTTTTACCTTGCCTCGACGTGAACACTCACTAAAATGACTACATACAGTCCAAATTATAATTTCTCCGTTTCTGATAATCAAATAAACTATACAGTGTTTTTGCTTATTACATGCTCTACGGTCTTTGACATCTATTTTTAGAAGTTTCATTAGCTGGTTGCATTTGGTTTAAACTTTGTTTTTATTCAATTTCTGTTTGACAATACATCGAAGTACATGTTTTATAGAACAGAAAAGGAAACAAAAACAAGTGTCGTGACACTTATGTAAATTTTGGTTGCATTTATGGGAAGTTTAGATGGTGGCATTTATGGTTAGAAGTTAAAAAATTCTTTGTTCTTGAAAAAACAACCAAAACACTTTATATTTTTAAAAAGATAAATAAAACTAAAAATCCCCGGGAATCTCACTGTAATTTGAGCCACAATGTGTCTGGCAGTAACGATAAATACCATGAAACACGTCGGTTTACACAAGGGAACGGCCCTACTTTTACTGGGAGTGGGTTCACAGAGTCAATAAAGACCGATGCGTCAGGATCAGGACTTCTAAACAGGAATGCAGGTCTAATCAACTCTTCATTACTACTGGTATTACAAAGTAAACATGTTTAGTTATGATCGCGCGTGTATATACTAATATCTATACACATGCCGAGTAACAGGACACTGACATCATCATTAAATATCTGACAGTCAACGCTACAACAAGTAACCCCACCGGATATAGATACATACACATTTGTTGTAACCCGTATGTAGCTGGGAGGGAGCTCCACCAAAGAATGGAGACAGCTATCACTGGCCATTGCAGCAGCAATCCCTGGACTTGTGTTTTCATGTTCACTCATATATCTACAAAGATACAAAAATTACAAGCACACGTCACACAGGAACTGTGCGGCAAATGTTCACATTCGTCAAGTCCTCATAAATATCACAGTATTTTAATAAAATTATATATAAAAATAATATTCAAAAGAAAACTGACGGATTGTCGAAGGGATGACGGAATCTGTGGACAAGATTATATCCAGTGTGCTGCTTCTCTTATTGTTATAACTTGCGTGCATTTTTTTCGATTATTTTTTTTCTTGAATAAAACATAGCTTAACCTTATACAGTTCATGACCGAATGTAACGAAATCTAGCAGATTATTACGACGTATTATGATACCTCATACAGCGTGTCTGATTTGATTATATTGATCGCATGATCACGCGCTCGAGTTTCCCCGATCATATTTCCCTAATCCGGAGCCTCTCTAGGCAACAGCCACCATAACCGTAGTCTCGTTCAACCAGTCGTTTGATCACTTCTCTGTTCGGCGTAGCGTATGCAGACAACAAGAGCCTGGTTGAACGAGACTACCAAAACCGACTTCCGAGTGACTGAAGCAGACGACAACAATTGCGCGTCAACTCGATCGTCTTTAATATTTGTGTTATTGTTGTGTTACAGCACAATACAATAGTTATTCCCTTTCTCTCCTTTCAAGGGCGATACATTTCGTCTACGATCAACTATTACCATTTTTGTGGGAACTATGCCTCTATTCGTATTGCCATCCGCAGCACTTTAACGGGTTATGGTTAGGGTAAGGGGTAATGCTTTCAATCAATTTTTCGTTTTTCTTTTGTGGAAGTTATTTCCATTTTCTTATTTTCTTTTCAATTTTTCGAGCAACTACATGTATTTCTACATCTCCTGACACAAATTAATTAAACTTGGTACCTGTAACTTCTGTTATTATAATAGGAAGTTGTTAGTGTGCGATCGATGAAGTGGGGGTACATGTTCTATATTTGTTAGCCGTGGCAACCCCTTATACTGAAAGGTATATTTTAAAATCCTCGTTATATAAAGGTATTCTCCAAGGAATTCGAAAGGTTAGGAAAATCCAGTATTTGACTTAAAGATAGGTGTTTTTAGCCACTATATTATAACACATTGTTCTTCTACAAAAGTCAAGATTGGCTAGAATAATAGGAAGACAGAAAAATTTGAAGCTTTCAGTAAACTTCTAGCAGCAGTATAAAAATAACACTGTAAAACCTATAATTTCCGCCTTATGAACAACATTAACCTATCAAAACATTGATTGTTATATAATGTGTGTTTCAGAACACATGTCACAAAGTGTAACGGACAAGTACCGTGTAAGTTGTCACTGCTTGGCTGCATGTAAATATAGCCAAGTGTTTCCTAATTACTATTTGACCATGTCTCAACATGTTGAGTAATTAGATATTGAGGTGTGAATGTTGCAAAAATGTTTTGATGGTCATTCCAGACCAACAGTTTCCGTTTTATTGGATACTTTTGCCTTCCCGTCCTCTGTTTCCGTCATTGGACATGCCACATTAAGTCACCAATGCTCGTTTACTTGAATGTGATCCATTACGTAATGATCACGTTTTTAGTCAAACTTTTCCGCGATGTTTACTTACCTTGATATATCATAGCTGGCAACGGGACTGTTAATGATGTGTCAAGTCTTGTCTAGTCTCGTCTGTTCTCGTCAGTACGACGTGACTCTGTCATGGAGATCCTCATGGCTGCACCTGTTGTGAGAAACGTTAGCAATACATTCCAGTCTACAAGTTGTGTGCTTCTCGTTAAACATCAATAAAAACATGCATATCTTCTCATCCTCCATAACAAAGGGCCGAAGAGGCCTGCATGCACATTAATTCTACAAGCTTCATGTATTTTGGTCATTCTTATTTGATGCGTCTTCCAAAGCAAAACAGTTCTTCATTCCTTTGATCTGTTAATATCGTTGTCATTGGAAACAGTATTTTAGTGAAAGAAAATTAAGGCATTTGATGTCAAACACTAATGGCTGTTATACAGCGTAATACCAGATAAAACCCTCTCAGTGGCGTGGAGGTTTCCATTTTCGCTGACCTCAAGAGGCCTAGCAGCACTTAATGTTAGTATTGCCCCTTAGATAATTATCTGAGTCTGACTGGTACTTAATTATAATTGTTCGGACAGCCTCGCCTTTGATATTGAGATTCTAGTACAATTATTATCACTTTACTTCTCATTAGAATTAGGCTACAATTCAAGAGAGAAAACGTCGTTATAGAAACACGTTCACGTTAATTCCACACAAGCTTTATAATATAGCTTATATAGCACTGTGCCAACCGGTAATGTATAAACGGAATACACATGTACGATGTACCTGCCCCTCTTACTTACCCTGCTCCACATGGAAGGTGTGTCTATTAAATTAAATATGATGTGCTCCACGTGCTGATGGTAGTGTTAAATATGTATTTAGAGATACACGCGTACATATGTGTGCCGGTAGATTTAAACACACACGTGAAAGCCCGTCAGTTCTAATACCGACTATGAGTCTGACATACTGTATGCGCGCGTATGTAAGTAATTGATACCTGAAGTAGCAATTAAATCCCCTCCACTTCACCTCACTTACGGCGGCGCGCGTGCGACAAAGTTAGCTAGTGTTAACTGACGCCTTCTGTGTCAGTTAGGCAGACTATCGTTAGTATAATCACGTATAATTAATATGGCACCGGGTCAAACGGGAGCAAAGCCCTGCAAATGGGATGAACTGATGAATTATCGCAAGACCAACATTTAAAAAAAAAAAAAAAAATGTTATAATTGAAATATCGCGAGACCGACATTGAATCAATTACATCACGTCCTGTTAAAACACAAAAGTATTCAAATTACGTGACGTGTGACTCTAACGTTGTTTTATATTTGTTTTATTATTTGTGAATTATGACGGACTTACATAAAAACCTTGTAAATGGGTACACCCCTCCCCCCAACCACCACCACCACCACCCGGATGGGGATTAGTGGCGTATTTAATCTCATTCCGAGCAAAATGTCCAAACCTGATTGAAATGTCACAGTAGATTGCACAAACAATGACAGTCGAGTCGAAAGGAGTTCCATAATGACACAAGTCACGCATCTTTTCGTGGTTTTTCGTTCCGTATACCATGCAAATAGAGAAAATACAATGTGTTCGATGTACGCACGGACGATAAATGTGTGGACGATGAACGATGTACGCACGGTCGATATCCGGACGCACGATGTATGCGCGGACGAGAGTTGTAAAGATTCAGTCGTATAATATATTATACCCATGTACGATGTGTGTAAGCACAGCCGATTTAGGCGCAGACTATCTACAATATATACAAAATAAAAGAAGACATATCTGGCTCTAGGCATTACACGATATTGGGAGAATAATAGAGTTAAACAAGAGACGGGCGCATCATTACTGTTTGTTGTCGTGGGAGGGCCTACGTACAGCCTGTTGGAGCTGACAGGCGAGTGTGTATCTTTATAACGACGCTCCTGTGCTTTATCGGCGTTGAAACATTATGTAAACAACATTGTTTGAAAATAATTTGGAAGTAAAACAGATGTGGACATTCCTCAGTAATGGCTGAGGATCTAAACATCAACTGGAAATTGATCCGCGTTGTCTCACTTCCCAGATTGGGGTTCAAAGTGTGGAATAAACTGGAGCACATTCCCTGTAACTCAGTTAGTCTGGGAGTAATTAGTGTTTATACGCTGTAATAGCTAGTGATTACCGTCTCCCCTCTGTCGTAACGTGGCTCCCTTAGGGGGGTATCCAACAGGCCTCCTTCTTACCAGCTATATACTTCTCCTTACCCAACCCTGAAACAACACCTTGACCCCCTTCCCGAGACAAAATTGTCATAGTCTGCAAGATGGGGAAGGGGGCGGGGGACGGGGGCAAGGCAAGGCGTACTGTGATCTCTAAAAGTAGACTATAGTTCAGCGAAATAAATTTCGAAAGATTGTTATCTAAACAGTAATATCAATCAAATACAAACCGGTGCGAACATTATAGATCAATCTGAACATGCTTCAACCGTTTAGATTCCATATCATTTTTATCTATTATACAAATCATAATTCCTGGTTGTCCCTATGAATTTTCAAGTTAGCTTCCCGAAATTGGGGATCGATCAAAATGGCGACGACGAAGAAATAATGACGTCACGTTCAAATAGCGTTACCCATATATACTGTCAGAGGTCGGAGTCCCGAAAGCTGTCTGCATCAACATAGTATGATTCATTAGCCCAAAGTTTTACTAGCATTCCTTAGCTCATGTACATTCATTACCTGTAACTTACATTTTTCTATAGGAAACATTATTCAACTAAAAGGAAATGTCCGCTACTTAAGATATTACTTAAACGCCAAAGGAAGAACTGTATCGGCACAGGAATTCCCAAAAGTTAAAGAACGTGCTTAAAACTTTGGCCTGAAAGGTAGGTGTGGTTTTATTTAGTTTAACGTCCTATTAAAAGGTAGGTACATGTATTGAAGGCACGAAATGTTTGTGGAACTGTTTGTCAGGTTGTCAGTTGGACAAAGGCATTTGCGTTTAGTGAACTATTGGTCCATTTACCTGTTGGAAAAAACAATTTCGTCTAAAACTATTTGTTAATTTGACGGTTTAACAAAGACAAATACATATAGTGAACTGTTTTTCAATTTGACTATTGGACAAAGACAATTACGTATAGTAAGTTGTTGGTTCGTTTGTTTATTGGATATGGACAATTCGTTTTGGGAATTGTTGGCTCGTTTGCCTGTTGCACAAAGACAATTACGTAAAGTGAACTGCCGGTCCATTTGTCTGTTGGACGGCGACAAATTCGTAAAGTGAACTGCCGGTCCATTTATCTGTTGGACGGCGACAAAAACGTAAAGTGAACTGCCGGTTCATTTATCTGTTGGACGGCGTCAAAAACGTAAAGTGAACTGCCGGTCCATTTATCTGTTGGACGGCGACAAATACGTAAAGTGAATTGCCGGTCCATTTATCTGTTGGACGGCGACAATTACGTAAAGTTAACTGCCGGTCCATTTGTCTTTTAGACGAAGACCATTACGTTTAGCGAACTGTCTGTCTATTTGTCAATCGGACTGATCAAAATGTCTCATGGACAAACTCAATTACGGATAGCGAACATTTCGTCTACAAGACAGATCATTTCAGTGGTCCACGAAAGACAAAAAGGTGAACTTAATTTAACATGCTTCCAGTGGCGTTAGAAACAATACTACAAGTGTATATATGAGCGATACATCTGTTACATACATCATTTACGCATTTTATTTACATAGATATATATTACGCAGTTTCAATCATAATTAACTAGACAGTGATATACAATGTACTTGGATTATATGCAAGTAACATTTCGTTCTGCATAAAGATGCTCAGTGACCAATGTCATGTCTGCAGTAAGTACTTCATACTACTCTATCTTATGGTGTACATATTGTGTACACTACAAAGTGGAACATTTTCTCGAGTGGAACATAGTCTCGAGTGCTGGTACTTCATAATTCTATAGCGCATCTTTATAGTCTTACATTGTCTCGGGTATTTGCAATTAATAACGTCATGATAGACGTACACTTGTATAATACATATGTAAATGTTTTGTGGTATGGGCCTACATGCATGTACACACGATGTCTCGCTTACATGTATCTAGTACTCTCCTTAAAGATTTTGGAATGAATTGTCAAGATTTCTTCGATTTCTTCTAGCTTATCCCCCTACAGTGGATGTACGAAACTTCTTACATCCAACAGATCAAATCGTAACAATCTCCTTTTACATATATTATCAAATATTCTGGGGACGGGGCCAGTCTGCTAGTACTAACGTTGTGTGGGAATGATACCAGACGTAATAACTTGATTTCAGTAACGGTACAAGGACATGTACAATACTCACGTTGTTTTGAGTACTATGTACCCGGTACTGAGGTTGTCTCTAGCCAACGTATCACTTATTATAAATACTCACGTAGTTTCGATTACTGGTATTCCATCACATACAACAGACGATACACTCACTTCCTCAACCCATGTACGTAGTATACCAGAGAGCCAGGCAGGTTGATGAAGCACAATAGTAAGAGGGTTTCAGTATACACATATAGACACAGGTGGAGATACAGACTCCGGATCCCGGGCTGATGGACGCTCCAGCGAGCACGGAATTATAGCCGACATGCAAGATTTCAATACCAGTTATATACATATGTTAAAAGAGAGACATTTTATAGATTACTTTAGGTATCCTGCTGGTAGGTAAACGTCTGATGATTCGTGTGCCAATCCAGGAATCATCGATATCACAGAGTAATTGGTCGGCCATTTTCTCTGTTATTTGAATCACGTTTGGCAGTCCCCATTCTATCCTCTATAGTCCCAGTCTGACTCTGTTTTCCGGTCTATCCTCCATTAATGTATGTATCATCCCAAACTCACATTCGCTAACAACATAGGATGCCCTCTAGCGGACAAAAACTTTTATCGCGTTCGGGGGGAATTCCTTCCCCTATCACCATGGTTACAGTGCTACCGTCGTAAGTGGTAGTCTACAGGCAATTAAAGGCACTCAACGCTCCATATTAAAAATACTGGGTTATATGACCCCTGCCTCCCCACTAATTGGTGCGTAGGGGTCGACTGTGCCAAGGGGGTCTGCGCGATCCCACAGGAGTCAGGAGTTACGTCACTTGACATCAGCGCCACCATGTCCGGTGGAGACAGGCCCGATTGGAAAGTGTCAACCATTCAAGTGATACGTCAGGGAAACGGCGTCTGAGACTGAAAACTTTTTTAAATTATCGTCTAAGTCAACGGGTTTCATACTTCAATACGGAACTTATGTCGTTCAAGTAGTGTCCCTGTGGGTATGATAGTCCATGTATGTCTGAAGTGTCCCTCCAAGAAGAGAGTGTCCCTATATGGAGGTAGTGTCCCTCTATATACATATAGGTTGTGTCCCTATATGAAGGTAGTGTCCCTGTGTGTATATTACTCCATGTATGTCTGTATTGTCCCTCCAAGAAGACAGTGTCCCTATATGGAGGTAGTGTCCCTCTATATACATGTAGGCAGTGTCCCTATATGGAGGTAGTGTCCCTCTATATACATATAGGTTGTGACCCTATATGAAGGTAGTGTCCCTGTGTGTATATTACTCCATGTATGTCTGTATTGTCCCTCCAAGAAGACAGTGTCCCTATATGGAGGTAGTGTCCCTCTATATACATGTAGGCAGTGTCCCTATATGCAGGTAGTGTCCCTCTATATACATGTAGGTTGTGTCCCTATATGAAGGTAGTGTCCCTGTGTGTATATTGCTCCATGCATGTAGGTAGTGTCCCTACATATGCATATTTAGGTAGTGTCCCTCTATATATATGTACATGTAGCTAGATTCCCTATACTTTATGTAGGTAGTGTTCCTCTATATAAATGTATATGTAGGCAATGTCCCTATAATAAGGCAGTGTCCCAATATTTAGATAATGTCCCTCTATACACATGTGCAGGTAGGTAGTGTCCCTGTATGCAGGTATAGTGTTCCTGTATGTAGGTAATACTCCTTGTGTGTAGGCAGTGTCCCTCTATGACTATAGTACATTATTGATGTCCCTATATGTAGGTAGTGTCCCTAAATGTACTATAATTCATTACAATTGTCCCTCTATCTAAGCAGTGTCCCTATATGTAGGTAGTGTCCCTAAATGTACTATAATACATCATAATTGTCCCTCTATCTAAGCAGTGTCCCTATATGTAGGTAGTGTCCCTAAATGTACTATAATACATTATAATTGTCCCTCTTTCTAAGTAGTGTCCCTCTATAACTATTGTACATTATTGATGTCCCTATATGTAGGTTTTGTTCCTAAA